TAATGATGGTGGGTTGGCCATGACCCATAAAAATCCCATGTCATGAGGAATCCCTACTGATATTGAGGTGAAAAAAAATCGCCCATATTTCATATACCATGTCACCATGTTTTTCTAACTTGACCGTGGCACATTTTTTAACGACCAGCAAGGGGCCCTTTGGGGGTCCCTTTTTTTAGGAGAGGACCTTCTGGCTGCGAAGAGAGAAGATTCTGCAGCCCGAAGAGGTGGATGATTTCAAGTTGGAGGGGGATCCAGTGGAGTGCCCCGACTGGCCGACTGGTGACATGGGATGACATGGGCCGCCCGATTTTTCTGGAACGGCAAATCATGAGGACATAAAACTGAACAAAAAACACAACTTGAAACCAAAGAAAATAGAGAGATCATAATTTATGGCAATTTGAAAGCGGAAAGGATGAGAAATTTGTTAGTGGTAGCCCATTTCCTGGCAACTCCAAATAATCGAACACGAAGCAGCTGTTGAGTGATGGCCCTGATGTCGGCGATAGAGGTGGCACGTACTTCATATCTTCTCTTCTACTTCAAATGTGTGCGGTGGAATGTCAAGAATTTACACCCCGGAATTGATTCTGAAATCTAATTTGGGACAGGGTGGTGACCCAACGTCAATGAAGATGCAATATGTGTGTGAGAGAGAGAGAAAGAGAGAGAGAAGGAAAGAACCGTCACATTGGCTTTGGCTCAATATCATCTACATGCAAATTGGATGCCTTACTACGAAACATTGCCAAATTTGTGGCTTCATAGACGCCCCAGTTGCATGCCATAGCCAAGTGCAGATGATACCCACTACGCAGTACCGCTTCTGTTTGTACCGCTTTACTCACCTTCTCTGGACTGTGTGCTCGACTGCAAACAGTCGACAATTGACATTCTATTCTTCATCTGCTGGTTGCACCACCATCTTAGTCCTAAACCGCATCTGCACTATAGCGAGATCCTGGTCTTATTGAGCCAGAACCGATGCATTTCATATCTGTAGCTCCCATCAGATTTTCATCACCATGGAAATCCCCGGTTTTTCCTCCATGGCTGATGGCTGGTGATCCTTGCCTCCTTGCCTCCAAGGTACCCCCCCAAAGAGGCGGAGATCCTGGGTGCCTCCCGGGCCTTGCCCAGCGGCGACTTCCCGGCCATGCGCTACATGACCCCCGAGCTGGCCGCAGATGCGGCCGGAGCGTCCTCTGGGCCGAGGCCGTGATTTTCTTCACGATGTGGTTGGGAAACCTCTGGCTTTACAATGGCTAGCCGTTTTAGGGAATGGGGCTAGATAGTACCTTAATGTACCGTACTTTCTATAACATGGGGGGAGGAACCCCCTGATCCTTCATCAGGGTTTGTGAATCGGAGGTTGGCAGCATAAATCACATGGCATGGGGGGTACTGGTGATGAACTACAAGAGTGGTTGGGGAACTTGGCATGAGATACATGTTTTTTGAACATTGAAAAACAATCTGGAGGATGCGAATCTGCTGGCTTACCCAAGATTTCTATTCTTTGTAGCAACTCAGAAACCCAACGCCTCCAGAAAAGAGTCCCGGAAGCACCATGGAATGGCCAGATGACATCCCATGATATCCCTATTTTCCCATGATACCCCATGATATCCCATGATATCCCCATTTTTTTTGCTTAAACTTACCCCAAACCCTAAATCCTATAGTCATTATATAACTGTCATTAACTAAGCGAAGCAGGTCACGTTACCGGATGGAGCTGCCAGCCTCCCGGGAATATCACCAGCGCGTGGCACACCAGGCCGGGGCCACGCCACTGCCAGGGATCGACGACCAGAAAGCAACTCCCAGAAAGATATATACATGGCACAAGGGGAAAGTCCTAAAATGATAGGAAAAGTCCTGGAAATTCTATACTCTTCTATCTTTTTGGGGATTGATATATATATATATATACCATACCCAATGTGACGTAAATGCAGATGGATTTCTGTTGTTTGGGATGGGGGGTTACATTTAATTGTGGACAATTAACTGCAGATGGACTATTGTAGCACTCCCCAAGAAATAATTAAATAGACATGTATCGAAATGTAGAGGAGCTGCTGCTGGAAAGAGTGATGAAAGTTGAAGGTGATCTATGCCATTTCACAGCACCGCATTTCCAAGCGCAGCACTCCCCAAACCTGGAGAATCTGAACATGTCCATCATTCTCGTGGGACATTTTCAGATTGCTAACTCCAACCCTGAGACCCTGAAAAATACCCCGGACATTGAGGTTTTTGTTTCGACAAGTGGAAGGTTTAGGAGTTTCCGATGTTTAACATCAAAATCCATTGGTTTCAGACAAAAGCAGGCAAACACAACACCGAGAAACCCAGTTTTTTCTTCAAGATTTTGAATCTCCAGGATTATTTTTACTAGTAGGAGTTTTCATTTTCCATTTCATTAAAAGCCATACTTAGTGATTGCCTGGTTGTCCTGCCAGCCCAGGCCGCCACGCTGGGGTGGCCATCCCCTGCGGAAGCCCTGCCTTTGGAGGGCGGCGGGTCTCCTTCGGACCGCAGTCCGCGCAGTCCGCGCGAAGCCCGGCGCTCGCCACGGTTCCAGGAACGGGGGACGCCCATCAGCGAGCCGGACCCGCAACCGTCTCCCAGTCAAGCACCGCCAGAATCACCCAGGCCTCTGGAGATTGCTGGAGTTTTTGGGGCAGTTGGGATGGGTGTTTTTTGATCAGTTGACTTGGTCAGAGTCGGCCATCGCAGGAATTTCTTCGCGGGCTTCGCGGAGAAGGTGGGCCAGACGCCAGAGAGCCGTGGCTTTGCCCAGCGCGGTCAACCGAGTTCGGATGACTTCGATTTCGATTCCGATGAAGGGTGGTCTGCCGTGGATGCGCGTGGGAGGCCATTGGCTGGGCAATCTCTAGCTGCTGCGGCCTTCCGCAAGGGAGCGAAAGGGTTGGACGCGGAAGGGCGAAGACCCTTGGGGTTGGACATGGTGCCACCTATTGCAGCATTTGCCGGATTTCAAAGCAGGTTGGGGTTGGACCTGTCACAGATGTGACATGGAGGGCATAGCAGGACTACTGTGAATTGTTTGATGCTTTGTATTGCAGGTTTGCCCTGACTGTTGCCCAAAGAAACGGATGGAAAGTGGTCATTGTGAAGTTCCATGTTCAAAAGACCAAAGCCACAGGATGCCAGAGGATGTCACAGGTAATCATTTAAACATATTTATATAAACATATTTAAAAGGTGTTCCGGCTTCCAGGTCCGTTCATGCAGCTGTGCAGCCACCGCCTTTCGCAGCCTTTGCTGGGGATGGTGGACGCTGGTCTCAATCACCACACTGCTCAGTAGCCAGACCCTCTCAGGGGTTCCCCGCATTGTAAAATGTTTACCTCCATCCCCAGTGGTGCAACCTCATCCTCCAAAAACCTTTCCCCACTGATATTTCTTGAGTTTTTATTCCCCAGGGAGGAGCATTTTAGCATCTGCGCCCCAGAATGGGCTTCCACTGAGGCGGCGGGATAGACTTCTTCGGCTCCTCGCAGCAGGAGCTCACGCGCTCCCCACGCAAGGCGAAGGAGGAAGAGGAGGAGGAAGAGGAAGAGGAGGGCCTGGGATGATCTGGGCACGGGCACCAAAGAACCCCAAAATTAGGTGGATATTCGGCGTTCCAGAACTAGGACTAGGTTTCCAATGGTTTTCCATTTTTCTTGTCGGTTCCAACCACCAGATCAAATCGCATCAGATCCTGCAGCCTGGCCATTTCTTTTTGGATCTTTGTTTACAAATGGGTCTTGACCGAAACTGCTTAGTCAGGCAGTGGGTACGAAAAACACAACAACTCCAAGCCTTCCTGCCATACGTTGAGGGGTCAGTTTGAATCAAGTGGCTCCCTGATTCGAAGGGGGCTATATGTAGCATTTACACACATGTACATGATATGTATATGTGACTGTGTATATATGTATATGTTATCTGTTATATTATGTGTTATGTAGGTGTTATATGTTTTATGTTATATGTTGTATGTTGTGTATATATATATATATACATACCTATATACATTCAAATGTTGTAATCTTTAACTTGGATATTTCTGTTGACCTTGTGTCACCATTCAATGAATACACCTGGGCTGATTCATTCAGGGAGTCACGCCAAAAAGTTTCCACTCAGGGGTCAGCATTCATCCAGAGCTGACAACAGCCAGATTACTGTTCAATATTTTCCTTTACACTAAGAGAGCTTTTACTGTAGCAGGGAAGAAATACCACAACGTACCCAATCAGGAATGTGCAAAGACAATATATATATATAATTTCTGGTAAACAGAGGGTAACATCCGAATCAATAGATATTGGCAAGTGCAGAGGTGACGGATCAGTAACAAGTCAATAAGTACAGTAAGTCGACAAAAACCACATACAAATTCATGGGGAGGCATTCGGTCTTGCATTGTTCTTACTGAAGAGACGCAGTCAACATTGATCACAAAAGAAATCCCAAGCGATCCACAGCGACGAGCCAATGATATGGTTACAGTTGCGGGAAAGAGTTGTAGTTGTTGCACATACTTTCGGCAAACCGTTGCGAAGTTGTGTGAAGTTGTGTGCAAAATCTGATGGATCTCCTTATTTGTCGTCCCCTAATTGCCTGCATGTTGTTGGTCGACTTGCCCTGGAAGCTTCATCGTTGTCCAACAGTCTGTAACAGTCCAACATGAAAATGATCAAAACATATCAAAACATATGAAAATCCACACTATCCACAAGTCATATTCATACAGTACCCTCTGGTTATTTAACATAGCCATGGAAAATGGTCCATTTATAGATGATTTTCACAGCTAGAAACCTCCATTTATTTTCGGGATTTTCCATGGCAAACTGTTAGTCATAACCAGAGGGTACCCATTTCATCTTCATTTCATCTCCATTTCTCCCGTGATTTTTCCCACAGCATCCGAGATCAGGAGAGCGAAGGATCCGAGGTTGACCTGGATGCAGAGCCCCAGGAACCATTGGCTTTCGATCCCATTTTTTCCATGCTGATGACCTGGAGATGGTTTATGGCATTCCACACACACACATATATATATACATATATATATATATATACACATACATATACATAATAATCAATATACATACACACACACACATATATATATATATATTTTTGGGTATATATGCATACGCATATATTATATACAGATTATACCTCCATAAATCCCAATAAGAATTTCCAAGTCGCTGTGCCAAGTCGCATTTCTCATGGGATTCGCGCGTTAGATGGGTGTCCTGGATCGAAGCAACTCTGATGCATTCTGGGGCTTAGCAACAAGTGAGGATATATGATATGGTAGGATAATATAATATAGGATGATTGTGATGATATGATGTGTTGTTGTGAATTAGTGATGATATAATATATATATATAAATGAATATAAGAAGTGATCTTTTTGGATATGCCTTAGAGATAGGACGACCTCTGCGCACATCATGCATATCGTGTGGCGATCTCCGGGATGATCCTCTAGGAGTCCAGCTACTTTGGGGCCCTCCTCGGCACATCCGCACCCAGCACGTCCAAGAGCCCGCCCTCCATCGATCCGCACGCGGAGTACATGGCCGGCGCCTGCATGGTGCGGGCGCCTGCGTTGGAAGTGCCAGACTTCAAAGGCTTTCGGAAGGAGGGCCTGAAGTCAGTGCCTCGACGGAGTGTACGATGTTGTGAGTGCTGCTTCACATTTTTTAAGGATGGATTGGGGGGATGGCATATTTGCTAGCTGTGAAACTTGGGAAGAAGAGTTCAGAGTCGCCCTTGAAAGCTTGGAACCAAGCCGGTTTTGATTTAAAAAGTGATTTGCACTTAGATTACCACCTGCGACTTCCAGGTGGTTCACACCATATTTATTGTTCTTTTGTTTGGGATCTGCCAGTGATGATCAAAATTCTGTGGCGGATACTTGTTTTGTCGGCACGGGGGTCGCATTTGCCCCTAAACCATCTTGGGTCGCATTTGCCCCTAAATGAAGGGGGATGAAGTGGGTTCAGGGGCGAATGTGACCCTCGTTCAGGGGCGAATGTGACCCCTGCTTTTGCGTGGCAGGCGCAATAGTTTCAGAGCCTCAAAAGGATTTTTTCCACCCTAGAGAGTGATATTCACGTGTTTTTCTACGTTCCAACAGCCATTTCAATCAACTTCCAGGACACTATGCATGCTACGGTGTTCCATTGCTACGTTGTACCATCCAGTTCGAGCAACTTCCAAGACGCTTTGGATGTTACCTTCCAAGAGACATTTCAATCAACCTATGGATGCTACGTTGTAAGATCCAGTTCGAGCAACTTGGAAGACACTTTGGATGCTACGTTCCAACAGCCATTTGAATCAATTTCCAGCACACTATGGATGCTACGTTGTAACATCCAGTTCGAGCAACTTGGAAGAAGCCTCGGATGCTACGTTCCAACAGCCATTTCAATCAACTTCCAGGACACTATGCATGCTACGGTGCACCATTGCTACGTTGTAACATCCATCTCGAGCAACTTCGAAGACGCTTTGGATGTTACCTTCCAAGGGACATTTCAATCAACTTCTAGGACACTATGAATGCTACGTTGTACCATCCAGTTCGAGCAACTTGGAAGACGCCTCGGATGCTACGTTCCAACAGCCATTTCAATCAACTTCCAGGACACTCTCATGCTACGGTGTACCATTCCTACGTTGTAACATCCATCTCGAGCAACTTCGAAGACGCTTTGGATGTTACCTTCCAAGAGACATTTCAATCAACTTCTAGGACACTATGGATGCTACGTGGTACCATCCAGTTCGAGCAACTCGGAAGACGCCTCGGATGCTACGTTCCAACAGCCAGTTCAATCAACTTCCAGGACACTATCATGCGACGGTGTACCATTCCTACGTTGTAACATCCATCTCGAGCAACTTCGAAGATGCTTTGGATGCTACGTTCCAACAGCCATTTCAATCAACTTCCGTCCCCCCCTACACCCCAGTCCCCCTAAATGTCCCCTTGTCCCCAGGTTAAACCCTAAAGGGTTGAGTAACATATGGAATAGAGAGACAAGTCAACATATGCCCCCGTGTCCCCCCCTAAACCCCAGTCCCCCTAAATGTCCCCTTGTCCCCAGGTTAAACCCTAAAGGGTTGAGTAACATATGGAATAGAGAGACAAGTCAACATATGCCCCCATGTCCCCCCCTTAACCCGAGTCCCCCTAAATGTCCCCTTGTCCCCAGGTTAAACCCTAAAGGGTTGAGTAACATATGGAATAGAGAGACAAGTCAACATATGCCCCCATGTCCCCCCCTAAACCCCAGTCCCCCTAAATGTCCCCTTGTCCCCAGGTTCAACCCTAAAGGGTTGAGTAACATATGGAATAGAGAGACAAGTCAACATATGCCCCCATGTCCCCCCCTTAACCCGAGTCCCCCTAAATGCCCCCTTGTCCCCAGGTTCAACCCTAAAGGGTTGAGTAACATATGGAATAGAGAGACAAGTCAACATATGCCCCCATGTCCCCCCCTAAACCCAAGTCCCCCTAAATGTCCCCTTGTCCCCAGGTTAAACCCTAAAGGGTTGAGTAACATATGGAATAGAGAGACAAGTCAACATATGCCCCCGTGTCCCCCCCTAAACCCCAGTCCCCCTAAATGTCCCCTTGTCCCCAGGTTAAACCCTAAAGGGTTGAGTAACATATGGAATAGAGAGACAAGTCAACATATGCCCCCATGTCCCCCCCTAAACCCCAGTCCCCCTAAATGTCCCCTTGTCCCCAGGTTAAACCCTAAAGGGTTGAGTAACATATGGAATAGAGAGACAAGTCAACATATGCCCCCATGTCCCCCCCTAAACCCCAGTCCCCCTAAATGTCCCCTTGTCCCCAGGTAAAACCCTAAAGGGTTGAGTAACATATTTAAATTATTGTTGTTTAGGGGGGAATGTGACCCCTTTTGGTTTAGGGGCGAATGTGACCCTCTTTTAGGGGCGAATGTGACCCCCGTCCCTGTTTTGTCATTGGGGATTTAGCTGACATGGCGCCTAAATCAGCACAAGTCACTAGTGTTTGCGTGGTCGTGTGGGTGGGATCAGCTGGCTCCTGCAAAATTTGGGATGTTGCACTGTAATTTCCAGTCAAAATCTATGGCTGGTTGGCGGTGACTGGAACATGGCTTTTATTTTCCATATATTGGGAATAATCATCCCAACTGTTATGTCTTGCTCGTTTTTTCATTTTGTCCATTGTATCCCCAGGGTCTATGTGATCCCCAGAGTTGGAGGTGAAATTGGCATGCAACATGTGGGGTCTATGTTATTGTGCCAGTTGTCCATTGTTGGCCATTGTTGTCCATTGTATCCCCAGGGTCTATGTTATCCCCATTGTTGAGTTTTGCAGGCACCCACAATCTTTATTACAAGAAACCATAGACCCTGATACCAGTCCAGGGTCTGTGTTATCCCTACTTGCAATGCTACTGCACAGGTATTATAAGTTGTTGTTAAGGTCCATGTTAGTGAGTAAAACAAGGTTAAAATTGCATTCAACATGTGGGGTCTATGTTATGCCAGTTTTCCATTGTTGTTCATGGTATCCCCAGGGTCTATGTTATCCACACTTTTTGACTTGCAGGTTTTTTTTTACATGTTTTTACAAGAAAAGATAGACCCTGGATCAGCAAATATGCTCACCGGGGTCTACGTTTAAACGTAGGTTTAATGTAATTAGGGTCTACGTTTGTTTTCGTTAGAGTAGTTCAACCACCAACCAGATGGTCACGATGGTTTTTGGTTCTGAAATTTTGACCTCCACAGGTGAAAGCTGCGTGCGACATCTTGCTGAAACGGCGTCAAGAGGGTCGCCTGGGTGACCCTGAGACCGCCCGAACAGCTCTGGACTACGTGGTGGCTGTTTCCATCAACGCACAGCCCGCCGCAGAAAAAGGGGACGCCTGGAAACACGTTGGAGCCTTGGGGTCGAAATGTTGGAAGTGTTTGAAAACTGAAAACCAGGGAAACATTTTGGTCAATGGTCGTTGAGACCTCCTTTTCAGGGGAAAATAGACGCAGCTGTCATCATTTCAGTCACCGATTCGTTGTTCATAGAGGAGTTGCCCCTTGCTGAATCAAAGAGCCAGATGGCAGGGTTTCTTTGGGTCTGTAAGCGTCCACGGAATGTGTTCCTACAGCTCTTGGGCGGAGCTGATGTGCAGGGAGGGACACAAAACGTCACATGCCACGCATAGCTTAACAACCCCATTGATTTGTGTCAAAGAGGAAGGGACAGCCGCCTTCACCCTGCTTACCTGAGGAATCATCACAGATATCCTCCATTTCTTCCCGCTCTGTGCGCACATCCATCTCTGGTCCCTAGAGGCTCTGATGTCGCTTCTTCGCTACGAGGAGACCAACAAAGCCAACAGCCTGGCACGCCCGGTCTTTGATTCGGTCACCAACCTCATGTCCATCCACCTGAAGGATGCTGGCTGGGGCGGGTAGATTGGCCACCAGGTGTCCTCAGTTTTGAACAAACACTTGAGACATTCCAGTGGTCAATGCACCCCCTGATGCCCTGAGGACACAGGTTTGAGGACGGCCACGCCCGAACTTCCCCAGCGATTGCTGGCGTCCATTGCCTTGTCCATTACGCCCGACAACGTCAAGCGCCTCACCACGACGCATGTGGAATTTGCCCCACGGCCTAAAGGGGGAGATGGGAGGATCAAGCAAGGAGAACATCTAAAATAGCTGGTAGTGGTAGTTATGGAAAAACATGGTGACGGCGCCCCTCGAGGGGCGGGACTGTTGTCACTTTTGCAAATTGTATGTGTTGTGGGGAGGGGTTGGGAGGGGTTTTGGGGGAGTGTAATAACGTTGCTTCGTCTGCGTGTCCCAGACGTTGCAACATTGCAAGTAACTTCCAAGACGCTTTTGATACGTTGTAACATTTTCTTCAAGTAACTTCCAAGACGCTCTTGATACGTTGAAACATTTTCTTCAAGAAACTTCCAAGACGCCTTTGATACATTGTAACATTTTCTTCAAGTAACTTCCAAGACGCTCTTGATACGTTGTAACATTTTCTTCAAGAAACTTCCAAGACGCCTTTGATACATTGTAACATTTTCTTCAAGTAACTTCCAAGACGCTCTTGATACGTTGTAACATTTTCTTCAAGTAACTTCCAAGACGCTCTTGATACGTTGAAACATTTTCTTCAAGAAACTTCCAAGACGCCTTTGATACATTGTAACATTTTCTTCAAGTAACTTCCAAGACGCTCTTGATACGTTGTAACATTTTCTTCAAGTAACTTCCAAGACGCTCTTGATACGTTGTAACATTTTCTTCAAGAAACTTCCAAGACGCCTTTGATACATTGTAACATTTTCTTCAAGTAACTTCCAAGACGCTCTTGATACGTTGTAACATTTTCTTCAAGAAACTTCCAGGACGCCTTTGATACATTGTAACATTTTCTTCAAGTAACTTCCAAGACGCTCTTGATACGTTGTAACATTTTCTTCAAGTAACTTCCAAGACGCTCTTGATACGTTGAAACATTTTCTTCAAGTAACTTCCAAGACGCTCTTGATACGTTGTAACATTTTCTTCAAGTAACTTCCAAGACGCTCTTGATACGTTGAAACATTTTCTTCAAGAAACTTCCAAGGCGCCTTTGATACATTGTAACATTTTCTTCAAGTAACTTCCAAGACGCTCTTGATACGTTGTAACATTTTCTTCAAGAAACTTCCAAGACGCCTTTGATACATTGTAACATTTTCTTCAAGTAACTTCCAAGACGCTCTTGATACGTTGTAACATTTTCTTCAAGAAACTTCCAGGACGCCTTTGATACATTGTAACATTTTCTTCAAGTAACTTCCAAGACGCGCTTGATACGTTGTAACATTTTCTTCAAGAAACTTCCAAGACACCTTTGATACATTGTAACATTTTCTTCAAGTAACTTCCAAGACGCCTTTGATACATTGTAACATTTTCTTCAAGTAACTTCCAAGACGCTCTTGATACGTTGTAACATTTTCTTCAAGTAACTTCCAAGATGCTCTTGATACGTTGTAACATTTTCTTCAAGAAACTTCCAAGACGCCTTTGATACATTGTAACATTTTCTTCAAGTAACTTCCAAGACGCCTTTGTAACTTCCAAGACGCCTTTGATACATTGTAACATTTTCTTCAAGTAACTTCCAAGACGCTCTTGATACGTTGTAACATTTTCTTCAAGAAACTTCCAAGACGCCTTTGATACATTGTAACATTTTCTTCAAGTAACTTCCAAGACGCTCTTGATACGTTGTAACATTTTCTTCAAGTAACTTCCAAGACGCTCTTGATACGTTATAACATTTTCTTCAAGAAACTTCCAAGACACCTTTGATACATTGTAACATTTTCTTCAAGTAACTTCCAAGATGCTCTTGATACGTTGTAACATTTTCTTCAAGTAACTTCCAAGACGCTCTTGATACGTTGTAACATTTTCTTCAAGAAACTTCCAAGACGCCTTTGATACATTGTAACATTTTCTTCAAGTAACTTCCAAGACGCTCTTGATACGTTGTAACATTTTCTTCAAGTAACTTCCAAGACGCTCTTGATACGTTGTAACATTTTCTTCAAGAAACTTCCAAGACGCCTTTGATACATTGTAACATTTTCTTCAAGTAACTTCCAAGATGCTCTTGATACGTTGTAACATTTTCTTCAAGTAACTTCCAAGACGCTGAAAGCGCCGCACCTCCACAGGCGCCGTAACCAAAAACATGCCCCCAACTATGGTTTGAAGTTGTTTGGAAGTTCTTTTTGAAAGGTTCTAATGTGATTGAATAGGGAGATGATAGGCTTTTAGCTTTTGAATACGTCCGATATCGTTAAATGTGGCCAGGCTTTGAACAGTTTTGACCCATCACCATGTTGAGCTTACCCGCGCTGGCAGCTCCTGAGGCGTTGTCTTTGATGAACGAGCCTGGAGTGAGCCCTTTGACGACAGAAACCTGTCTTGGGAATACGGTGATGCCGTAGATGCGCAAGTCAGTGTTTGCAGCGCGGAGCAATTTCGGCAACTACACTATTGAAAACAAACATAACTCCGGAAAACTGAGAAACGAAAACTGGGGTCTACGTTTATTTGTAAAAAACGACTTTTGCAAGAGCAAAAAAACAAACCACTTCCGCTCACTAAGATAGACCTTGGGACATAGAGGTGAAAGGCAGGGTGAATTTGCCCATATTTGCCCTAACATAGACCTTGGAAGCAGAAAGTTCATGCACCCAGGTAAATTGTACACTTGCGAAACAAGAACACTTTGCTCACTAACATAGACCTTGGACACAGATGGAAAATTCACCCTGCCTTAAGCTCTATGTATTTTTTGATCTTGCAACTGTCCTTTTTTTTACGAATAAACGTAGACACCGGTGTGTAATTGTTCCTCACTGGGGTCTTTGTTTATTTAGCATGATGAGGGGGTGGTATGGTAATTAATTAGTGTAGAATATACACTCCTGGAAACAAACGTAACTCCCGAAACTGAGAAACGAAAACCGGGGTCTACGTTTATTTGTAAAAAGCGACTTTTGCAAGAGCAAAAAACAAACCACTTCCGCTCACTAAGATAGACCTTGGGACATAGAGGTGAAAGGCAGCCACAAAAAAGGATGGTACCATCCAAGTCCCCCTTGCAGATTTCAAACCAAAATGTAATTTTTTCTTTTCACAAGTCTCTATTCAAAAAGGCTCTTCTGAGTCATTTTTGGGCCAACGAAGGGGGTACCCCAGAATGATTTCGTTTTTGTGTCCTTTCAAAGGTTTTCCCCAGGTCCAATATTCTTGCAAGACTTTAAAGATGTTAACGGCCCCTAACATGGACCCTCAAACCCTCAAAACAATGATGCACAAACAACAAGAAGGCCTCCCATGGTTCACCTAGACCCTGATGGTTAGGGGGTGGTGTATCTTTGGCCCAATTATGGAAGCGGTTTCCAAACATTCTACACAAGTCCCCAAAGCAGATCATACCCATGTTTGGTTAGAGTGGTTCCCTATGGTTTTATGGTTTACCTAGACCCAGGTGCTAGATGCTTGGTCTATCTTCAACCACAACAAAGGATGGTACCATCCAAGTCCCCCTTGCAGATTTCAATCCAAAATGTCATTTTTCTTTTCACAAGTCTCTATTCAAAAAGGCTCTTCTGAGTCATTTTTTGGGCCAACAAAGGGGGTACCCCAGAATGATTTCATTTTTGTGCCCCTTCCAAGGTTTTCCCCAGGTCCAATATTCTTGCAGGACTTTAAAGATGTTAACAGCCCCTAACATGGACCCTCAAACCCTCAAAACAATGATGCACAAACAACACGAAGGCCTCCCATGGTTCACCTAGACCCTGATGGTTAGGGGGTGGTGTATCTTTGGCCCAATTATGGAAGCGGTTTCCAAACATTCTACACAAGTCTCCAAAGCAGATCATACCCATGTTTGGTTAGAGTGGTTCCCTATGGTTTTATGGTTTACCTAGACCCAGGTGCTAGATGCATGGTCTATCTTCAACCACAACAAAGGATGGTACCATCCAAGTCCCCCTTGCAGATTTCAATCCAAAATGTCATTTTTCTTTTCACAAGTCTCTATTCAAAAAGGCTCTTCTGAGTCATTTTTTGGGCCAACAAAGGGGGTATCCCAGAATGATTTCATTTTTGTGCCCCATTCCAAGGTTTTCCCCAGGCCCAATATTCTTGCAAGACTTTAAAGATGTTAACGGCCCCTAACATGGACCCTCTAGCCTCCAACCCTCAAAACACAGGTTGTGTTCCTTAACCAAAAAAGTAGAAACTAACGATGCACAAACAACAAGAAGGCCTCCCATGGTTCACCTGGACCCTGATGGTTAGGGGGTGGTGTATCTTTGGCCCAGTTATGGAAGCGGTTTCCAAACATTCTACACAAGTCCCAAAGCAGATCATACCCATGTTTGGTTAGAGTGGTTCCCTATGGTTTTATGGTTTACTTAGATTCGGGTGCTAGATGCTTGGTCTATCTTCAACCACAACAAAGGATGGTACCATCCAAGTCCCCCTTGCAGATTTCAAACCAAGATGTAATTTTTTCTTTTAACAAGTCTCTATTCAAAAAGGCTCTTCTGAGTCATTTTTTGGGCCAACAAAGGGGATACCCCAGAAAGATTTCATTTTTGTGCCCCTTCCAAGGTTTTCCCCAGGTCCAATATTCTTGCAGGACTTTAAAGATGTTAACAGCCCCTAACATGGACCCTCAAACCCTCAAAACACAGGTCTTGTGCTCCTTAACTCCTTAACCAAAAGAAAAGTAGAAACTAACGATGCACACACAACAAGAAGGCCTCCCATGGTTCACCTGGACCCTGATGGTTAGGGGGTGGTGTATCTTTGGCCCAGTTATGGAAGCGGTTTCCAAACATTCTACACAAGTCCCCAAAGCAGATCATACCCATGTTTGGTTAGAGTGGTTCCCTATGGTTTTATGGTTTACCTAGATTCGGGTGCTAGATGCATGGTCTATCTTCAACCACAACAAAGGATGGTACCATCCAAGTCCCCCTTGCAGATTTCAAACCAAAATGTAATTTTTTCTTTTAACAAGTCTCTATTCAAAAAGGCTCTTCTGAGTCATTTTTTGGGCCAACAAAGGGGGTACCCCAGAAAGATTTCATTTTTGTGCCCCTTCCAAGGTTTTCCCCAGGTCCAATATTCTTGCAGGACTTTAAAGATGTTAACAGCCCCTAACATGGACCCTCAAACCCTCAAAACACAGGTCTTGTGCTCCTTAACTCCTTAACCAAAAGAAAAGTAGAAACTAACGATGCACACACAACAAGAAGGCCTCCCATGGTTCACCTGGACCCTGACATGGTTCACCTGGACCCTGATGTTTACGGGGTGGTGTATCTTTGGCCCAGTTATGGAAGCAGTTTCCAAACATTCTACACAAGTCCCCAAAGCAGATAATACCCATGTTTGGTTAGAGTGGTTCCCTATGGTTTTATGGTTTGCCTAGACCCGGGTGCTAGATGCTTGGTCTATCTTCAACCACAACAAAGGATGGTACCATCCAAGTACCCCTTGCAGATTTCCTAGACCATGGTTAGGACTATGTTTTGCTCGTTTCTCGTTTTGTCCATTGTATCCCCAGGGTCTATGTGTTTCCCATAGTTGGACTTTCAGGAAACCATTCTGAAAGATATATCCCAACAAAAAGAATATAGACTCCGACATGCTGTTTTGGCAAGATGGATCATTTCTTGGGCTAGAAACTCAAATAGATCCTTATACCATGTCAGGGTATATGTTAGCCCTACTTGCAATGCTACTGCAGGAATTGAGAAAAAAACATGTTAGTGGGGTCGGCGGAAAGTAAAACAAAACACAATTTGTGGGGTTTATGTTCTTATTCCAGTTGGCCATTGTTGTCCATTGTATCCCCAGGGTCTATGTTATCCCCCATTGTTGAGTTTTGCAGGCACCCAAATCTTTATTACAAGAAACCATAGACCCTGATACCAGTCCAGGGTCTGTGTTATCCCTACTTGCAATGCTACTGCACAGGTATTATAAGTTGTTGTTAGGGTCCATGTTAGTGAGTAAAACAATGTTAAAATTGCATGCAACATGTGGGGTCTATGTTATGCCAGTTTTCCATTGTTGTTCATGGTATCCCCAGGGTCTATGTTATCCACACTTTTTGACTTGCAGGTTTTTTTTTTACATGTTTTTACAAGAAAAGATAGACCCTGGATCAGCAAATTTGCTCACCGGGGTCTACGTTTAAACGTAGGTTTAATGTAATTAGGGTCTACGTTTGTTTTCGTTAGAGTACTATTATTGCATATTATTACTACTAATATTATAGCTATAACTACGTATATTATTATAATATATTATGATTATGATGGTTATTATGATGATGATGATTATTATTACTATAACACATCGTGTTTTTGATTATTGGTTATGATTATTATTATTATTACTACTACTGCTATTACGGTCTATTACTAACTATCATGATTATTACTATTAATTATTACTATTATTATTATTATATATTATTTTTTACTATATACATTGCGTAAATGCACGCATATTATGATGCTATGTGTGTATATATATATATGCATATATGCACTCTCTCTCTCTCTCTCTCCCTATGTACATATATCTCTTTGCATACGTACGCATACACATATTGAAGGTTTCCCCATCATGTGCAGAATCTTTAGTCTCCTGCCCATTATATGATTGTACTGGGCTGGTCTAAAACTTAGAGGATCATCCCACTAAGTAAGTAGATCAAAAACAAGATTCATATACATCTTTCGCGCTGCTGGCGTGGTTGTATTTATTTGCGGTGAATTTCTTCCAACATAGTCATCGTATATCTACATTTTTTCCATCCATGTTTCCATTTTTCATAATGGGTCCTATCATGTCTCATCCCTGTTTTCAAATGATCTTCATAGTTTGGTAAAACCCAATTATGACCGATCCACAGTTTTGCAAGAAATGGGTGACCTGAAGGATAACGGTCAACACCACCCCCAAATTGAGAGGTTTATGGCATTAGTCACATTAGATAAGATGTGTTCCGAAACCAAAAAAAAACAGTGGTTTTCCACCTAAAACCCGACCATTTTCCGAGCCATGGCTGCCATGGCTACGGCATCCCCAAGGATCACGGCCTGCAGATCGTGACGCTGGCGGCCAAGGCCCAGGTGGACCTCGGGGTGCAGGCGCGCGCCGCGCGCCTAGCGCTGCGCTGCTTCCGCGCCGAGCCGCGGTTGGTGCCGCGGGCGCTGCTGGCCTTGAGCGCCTCGGGCTCGGGCCGGGCTTCGCCAAGAAAAACTGGGGGATTACTGGGGACTATCATGGAATATACTGGGGATTCACTATCCAAAATGGTACATGGGGGGTTATAAAGATCCAGATATCAACTTTGATGGGGTTTAACATGGTTGAACTAAACCCCTGTTGATTGATGATTAGTTTGAAGCTCGGGCCCAAATCCCTTCCAGCTGGTGAGCTTGTTCGAACAGAACATTTGGGAGGGACGCGGAAGCCATGGTTAGCACCCCTTGGGATTTGGACCCAGAATTTGGGAAATCATTGGAGACCAACGTTTCAGTGGTCATGTCTACGGTGATCTATCAACCAGGGAAACATTTGTGTCAAACACAGGTGAACAAACAACAATTTTTGACCGATTGCATCCTCCAAAGGGGCTATGAATGTCACACCATCCTTGATGGGGTCCTCCAACACTGTGATGGTCAATGGTGGATACGAATGGGGCCCAAGACAAAGACCTTTTCCAGACCAGTTGCTGAAATGAATGGGTTGTACAACATTGTTGACGCCTGCAGCGGCCTTGGAGCTGTTACGAAGGGATACGAAGAATGTGGTGCCCAGGTTTTGTGCCACGTTGAATCCAACCAGGCTTTTCACCAGTGGAGTGCAAATCGCACAACCAAACCGTGCATCTTGGGAAATGTCGCAGACGTCGAGACAGTTTTTGAGGTGTCCAAGTGTGTTCAGCAGTCTCATGTGCTTGCAGCAGGAGTATCGTGTCAACCATTTTCGGGGTTGGAGACGGTAGGCAGGGCTGTGACCCTCGCAGCGTTTCTTTCACTGGAATTTTGATGATGGGATTTTTCCTTGGTAGCCTTGCCATAGTACTGGAATGCACGAAAGAGGCCTTGAAGTCAGACTGGATCCAAGAACAGTTGCACAGGTATGCTGCCCAAACTGGCAGTACGGTTCACCAGAAGTTGCTGAACTTGCATGAGACGTGGCCTGCCATGAGAACAAGGTGGTGGGCCATCATTGCACATCCGGCCTTGTCTGTAGTTTCCATACCTCCAATGCCGGCCATGCGGTTTGTACCGAGTATCATGCACCTCTTGCGTACCATGTTGCCATTGTCCGACAGTGAACTTGAGCAGTTAGTTTTGTCTAACTATGAACTCAGGTGTTTCCATGATGTCCCGACAGGTATTGGTCCAAATGTCATCGATGTGTACAAAGCCATGAACACAGCCACTCACTCTTGGGGGTCACAGGTACTTGCATGTCTTTGCCAGTGTAGGTCCAGGGGTTTTAGCCAAGAACGAATCGATCGTAAAGGACTCTATGCGGTTTTGATTCCACTTGATCAAGAAGAAGTTTTGGGGAACAGGAAGGTCCAAAAAATGAGACATCCACACCCGCAAGAAGTTGCAATCTTGAATGGGTTGGTGCCATCCCATGTTGCCCCATCATGTGACACACCGTTGAGGCTTGAACTGGCAGGTGTAGGTCAACTTGCATCACCCCTCCAAGGTGCATGGATCCTGTCCAACATGATGTTCAATGTAGCTCAACAGAAGTTGCACGACAGTGACATCCACCCCAGACATGTCCATGCCAACCTATGCCGCCTTTTGTTGCAGGAACGGGATGAACTGTGGAAGACACAGAGCTTGACCAAGTCAATGCGAATCTTTGCCCAGGAAGTTGAGAGCTTAGACACCCCATGTGTCTTTCTGCCACCTGATGATTTTGCATCCGACCCATTGCATCCGACCGACCAGCAGCCTAGTGTAGGTAAGACCGAGCATGTGCATCCATCCAGCGGACCTGCAGAGACCATGAGTGATCCTGCCAGTGAAACACCCCCCGAAGTTTCCCAACCCACCCTCTTTCAGGCCACGCCCCTTCCACGCTTAGGGTGTGGGGGCCCCTCCCAGTGTGAAGACAGGGCTCATCTGATCAGTGCGGAAAGTGACATTGCTCCGAAAGATACAAATGAACTGAGTGATCCAGCTGCCACCAAATTGGCCTCTGCCAGAGTACCCAGCCGTGCACCTGACTCCAATGCTGAAGGTGAGACCCGAGAGTTGTCAAGCGGTGACCAGACCAAGTCTTTTGGTTGTTTGTTGTATGCGATTGCAAGCCAGCGACAAGGGAGAACTGAAAGTGGGCTGAACCCACACTGTGCACCGTTGCCCATGCCTGCATGCCCTCCAAACCTGGAGGTGATAGCGCTGATGGCCATCCAGGCACCCATGTCCCACCCCCCCCTTTTCATGCCATGCCCCTTCCACGCTTAGGGTGTGGGGGCCCAACCCAGGGTTTGAATGATTGCCATGATGAACAGGATGGTTGTGACACTCCAGTTTCCACTGCCTTGCAGGTCTCGGACACCGATGATGAAAGCCAAGCCACACCATGCCAAAGCGATCCATATGCCCAACTGCATGATGAAATGCCTGAAAGCATCAAGAATCTCGCCCATGGTCGTCTGAGTGATGACCAGAACACCACTGTTGCCACAGCCCAGAGCTCCGAAGTGAATGAACATCATCTGAACCATGCTAAGTTTTTCTATGATGACCCAGCATTTGACCATCAAGTCATGTTGGACCTCAACAAAACAGCAGGTGCAGGTGACCAATCCGAGTCTTTCCAAGCAGGAGCAGTGCCGGGCTTTGCAGTCAAGCGCGAACATCCCATGCCAGAAGCAGCCAGCAAGTATCAGAAATGCCAACAGAGTGCAAGACGCAGAAGTCTGGCTGACAAGCAAGCCGATGACTGCCTGGCAAGTGAAACAGTGCCAGGTAATGCGCAGAACTGTAACCATGCAAATGCTCAAGTTGCTCACGCAGCTAGCTCAGGGTCAGTTCATCTTTCTGATGATTGCAAAGGTGAGGCCTCAGGTACACCAGGTTGCAATGCCTCTGCAGAACCTCATGTCAACCGAGACACCCAGATAATAGAGATGCCTGTTGTCCAACAAGTTGGTACTCCAGTTCCCAATGACAATAGTCAGGAGCCTGCGGAAAGCCTAACTGTCTATGTGGTTGAACCGGGGGAAGGGTATGTGGCACTCTCATTTTGCCCAGGAAGTACTGTTGGTCAGATTGTTGCTGCCTCCAATGCAGAAGCTTCAACTGAAAAGTACCAAGGCATTACTACCATTTTTGGAACCCAACTTGAACATGATGTTCAACTCCAAAACAAAGGGTGGTACATGCTCCGCTACCAAGAGGAAGGTGAACAGGGTGACTCAGCCAGCCCGCCAATCTTGGCAAACAAAACGCGAGGACGACTGGTTTGGGATCAGAGGGGATGGGTTGCAGTTGATGAGATGGAATACTACCTGTACATGCCTGAATGTTACACACCAGGAACCATGTATGGAGTGTTGATTCTTCCTGATCGACCTGACGCACACACGATGCTTACTGAGTATGTACTGAGAGTTACAACAGAAGCAGGGGTTGACCAAGAAGGTCTTGCCAAAGCCTTTGTAATCCATCATGCAAACCATTGGACACCAGTTGTAATCCGAGTTCAGGGCATCACCATCCAGCTTTGGACCACACCAAGCGATGAACAATGGATTAGACCTTTGATCGAATCCACAGTTGGTAATGAAGCGATCCAGTTTGCCACCAGCCCAGTGCCACAGGCGTTCAAAGCTGATTGCGGCTTTCAAGCAGTTGGTTGGATTCTGTCCATGCTCCTGGATGACACGACTCAGGTGCCCTTTTCCGAAGACCAAGCAGCGCAGTGGAGGGCGTTGTTTTTCCATGATCTGCAACACACGGGTGCCAGTGAAGTCAATGTTTTTCACCCCATCATCCTAGGAGGTATGCAGAGTCAGCGTGACCAATTGCAGAAGCTGGTTACCGAACATGGGGTTGCCCCAGGCCGCAGCCGTGAGTGTGCCGATCAGCTGGTACAAGCCTTGGGTGGAAGCTCAATCCAACAAATACTTGCGTCACCTAGACCTTGGGCAGATTTGAAATCTAGGGCCAGTCTGCTTCGTCCACCTATCCGAATTGTGCTGTCGGATGAATTGAAGCAGTTGATCCAAAACAAGGTTCAAACCCAAGGGCAAGTGGGAACAAAAGCCAACAAGATCAAGAACAAGACTCAACGGAAAGCGCCTTTGCAACTGAAAGCCGACCAGCTTGAAGTGCCTCATGCAGTCTTCAAACAAGGTGATGGTACTGAACTGAGCCAACTTGCTGCATCGGAAATTGCCCCTGGAAGCCAAGGTGTTGCCATTGTCAACATTGCTGAAGCGATGCCTTACTTTCAGCTGACGGAAGCAGTGAGCCCACATGGGATTGCGCTCTTAGTCCTGGAGTTTGATGATCCTAGGTTGCCACCTCACCACCAAGTGATGAAAGTGCCTATGCAGAGCAAAGACACCCATGACCCGCTGATTGTCAGCGTAGCTGTGGTCCAACTTGGACACCAACCAGTCCAACGCAATGTGCCCACGCACACCATTGCAGTGCCAGAGGTACCCAATCAGGTCATCCGAGTTCTTGTATATAAGGATCAGTTCACAGGACAATGGAGTGACTTTGTGAAAAGCCCAGTCAAATGCTTGATGCAGCAGGATCCTTTCCGACAGCTCCAACAAACTGATGTCATTGATGTATGGGATCGCCAGTTTCTCACGGCCAAGTTGCAGAAGGTTGTGCCAGATGAAGCTGACATGTTCAGTGTGAACCTTCGCATCAGGCAACAAGTCCAAGAAGAGGTGACCAAAGCCAATGGCAACAATGGCACCTACATCGAGCCAAGGACACCTGACGGACGACACCCAGATGAAGCGTATCAAGTGGTCTGGTTACCAAGGAAGACGTATGGTGAAGCTCAGGTCAGCCAGAAAACGTCCAAGACACCGACCACCCTAGTCCGCCAAGCAGACCGATATGGGCTCAGGGTTGCCAATGAAGAAGCGGAAGCATTGCACCGATTGCACAGGCCAGATCTTGTGTACATACAGGGCTCAGAACTTGTAAAGTACAGAGTAGGCCCCATGCCTTTTGGTTCAACCAAACAATCCTTGGTCCATGTCTTCTCCAAGTGGCAGTGGAAAGCACGCCCACTTGCGCCGCAGGGGCAAACCAGAGATCGAGCTGGTGTAATGTGGATTGTGCAAGCAGCCGAGCCGCCCTCGCATTGGGTATTCCAACTCAGCCATGGAGATGTGTTGATATCCCCCGAAGACAAAAGCACGCCAGTGCAGCAGCCGCCACAAGCTGTTTTGGCATCGTCCAAAACCATCCAAGCCTTGCAAGCCAATGTTGTCCCGAATGCCAATGAAGACCCCTGGATCCACTATGATCCCTGGGCCAGACCAAATCCACGAGAGATGCCTACAAGCCAAGTTGCGTCGCTTGAGACCAGACTTGAACAAAGTATCCTGACCAAGATGAAACAAAGTGATGTTGCCATGCCTGACACTGATGCCAAAGTAGCGGAACTGGAGTCTCGCCTTGACCAGTTGAGCCAAACTGTGCAGGCCAATCACCGTGAATCAGTGCATCAACATCAGGTAGTGCAGAACCAACTCACCACGTTGGATACGAAAGTCGACCAGCAACAAGGGCTTTTCCAAAACACCCTTGAGGCCAAGCTTGAACAGCAGATGCAGAGGATCGAACAGTTGTTCAGCAAGCGCCAAAGGACCAATGAGTGACTATCCAGTCACAGGAAACCGAGCAAAAGCACAGGAGCCAAATGCATTTTGCGGCTCATCCTTTGTTACTTCATATGCATGTGTAGGATTGGAGAGGCAGCTGTGCCGGGACCCACTCAGTCAGAGTGCTTGCTAGGATGCCTTAACCCAACAGGACTTTTGGATAAATCGTCTATCATCGCTAACTTGCCGAAAGTACCTAATGGCCACTCGGTTTGGGCGGTGTCAGAAACGCATTTGTCAGCACCAGGAATGGTGAAATTCAAAAAACAACTTCTTTTCCATAAAACAGGAATGCAAGCTCAATTAGGAGCAGCAGTGCCGCTGCGATCGCACACTGCCTCAGCCATAGGAGGTAAACACCGTGGAGTTGGATTCATCACTACAACGCCATCAAGGGCGATGACGGCCACATGGCCCGAGTCAGCTTGGCAGGAAAGCCGTTTCCATGTAGCCTGCTTTCAAGTTGGGGAAAGGTGGATACAGGGGGGGGTAATCTATGGACATGCTGTTCACTCGGACACAGTTGCCACCCGAGAAAAAACTGATGCAATTTGTTCCCATGTCACGACACGCCTGCTCAACCACAGCCAGGGTTTAAGGTTTATAGGAGGTGACTTCAACCAACCTGACGGAGCCCTTGCCAACATGAGCCAGTGGGCCGATGCAGGATGGGTCAATGTCCAAGTTTGGGCCCAGCAAAAGCTAGGGAAAGCAATCGAAGTGACTTGCAAACAAAAGACCGCTAAAGATCACTTGTATGTCAGCCCACAACTTGCGATGTATCTTAAAGATGTTGAAGTCCAGCATGATTGGTTTGCTGATCATTCCATCTTGATTGCTCGATTTCACCCTTTAGGTAACCCACCGCTGCTCCCACTTTGGAAGCACCCCACAGCCATTGACTGGTCAGCAGTCACCTAGGCTGAAGTTGACGCACAGTTCACATTACCAGCAGGTCATGATGACCCCACAGTGCAGTATGCCAACTTGATGCAACAGGTTGAAACAGCAGTTGATCGAGCACTCAGGACCAAAGGTAAAGGAGCCATGCCGAACAACATGCGAGGTCGAGGCCAGCAGCTTGAAGTCGTGTGGGTCCAAGAACACTCGGCTCCAGTCAAAAAACCTCGAGAGGGTGAATATCAGCCAAGTTTTCATGGACTCAATCAACAGCACTGCAAGTGGGTGCGTCAGTATAGGAGACTTGTGAACTATGCCAGGTTAGTTCAAGGGTTCAAAGACACCACACATGCAAGAGACCACCGAGTCAAACTTTGGAGAAGCATCACAACCACCGCAGGGTTTGCGCCCTCCTTCCCTCAATGGATTGCCGACCATGCTGACCCTATCCAAATTTCTTGGCATGACCCGCCTGATCATGATGAAGCATCCAAGCTGTGCCAGCGTTTTCACAAGCTGCTGACGGAGTTTGAGAAAGCCCTGAATGCCCAAAGGTCGGTAGCAGCCAAGCAGCGTAGGCAAGATGATCCGGCAGTCATTTTCCAAGACCTTCGAGATGAGAAACCTTTGCCAGTCCAAATGCTGGTGGAGCAGAAAAAAGCCACCATTACCGAACTTGACCATGATGAATCAGCAGTGATTGTTCACCAAGACCACCAATGGGATGCCACACAGCCAGTTTACAGTGAGCTCGGTGCACACCATATCATCGAAGCTGAAGAATGCAAAGTGTGGTTAGATGGAGTGACTGACCTTCAGCCAGGCATGACCCTGGAGCAAGAAAACTACATAGGCCGCCTCACTGACCTCTTTGCCAAATTTGGAGATGAATGGACATCCAGGTGGGACCGACACCTACATGTTGAACCTGATAGGTGGGATCCCATTGTACAGTTTGCTGAACTGGCCCTTCCGAAGCCTGACCCCATGTCCTATAGCCCCATAACTAAAGAAGAATGGGTCAAGGCCCTTAAATCAAAAAGAAAGCATGCAGCCACGGGGCCTGATGGAGTGAGCAGAGCAGACCTCCTCAATCTTCCTGAGCAGGCCACTGAGAATATCCTGGAGATGTTGGCTGGGATTGAGCAGGGTCATCAATGGCCACGCCAGTTGGTCCTGGGCATTGTAGCAGCGTTAGCCAAAATACCAACAGCATCCCAAACCAAGCACTTCAGACCGATCACCATCTTGCCTGTCATTTTCCGTACGTGGAGTTCAATCCGAGCCAGACAGATCTTAGCCCACCTACAGCCGTTTGCACCGCCCACATGTGCAGGCAGCGTTCCAGGTCGCCAAGCTGCGGACATATGGTACCATATCATGGCCAATATTGAAGTAGCCCAATTTGCCAAAGCTGACCTTGCAGGGGGGGTAGTAGACCTTGAAAAAGCTTTTAACATGCTGCCTAGGATCCCAGTCCTTGAATTCATGCGCATCCTCAACGTTGCCCCACCAATCTTGGTGGCATGGTCCAGAGCCCTGGTGTCGTTGGAAAGGCGTTTTACAATCCACCAATGTATCGGGCCCCACGATTGTATCGGGCCCCCACTTAAGTCTTCCACTGGTTTTGCAGAAGGGTGCAGCCTTTCGGTCACCAGCATGTTAGCTGCCAACATTGTTGTCCATCAATACATGTTGCGGAGATACCCTGATGCCATGCTATGGACTTTTGTCGACAATTGGGAAGTCACTGGACCAAATGCAGCATGCGTAATCCAAGCACTTGAGGGCCTACATGCACTTTGTCATGCCATGGACATGGTCATAGATGACTCAAAAAGCTACACCTGGTCGGTATCGGCCACCCAGCGGAAAAACCTGCGAGATCATGCACTTCAGGTGAAATTGGCAGCACGTGACTTGGGGGGACATATCCAATATAGCCAGGTTGTCACCAATAGCTCCATTATTGACCGTTGTGAAAAAATCAAGAAAGTTTGGGGAAGACTGGCCAGATCCATGGCCCCTTACCGCCAGAAAGTCCAAGCCTTGCGTACCAAAGCATGGGCCTCATGCTTACATGGTATTGCATCCGTTCACCTTGGGGAAGAACACTATCAGAAACTCAGGACAGGAGCAGTTCAGGGTTTGGGAGAACACTCCCCGGGCTCGTCACCGCCCATTCACCTAAGCCTTGTCGAAAGTACTCATGCTGATCCACAGTATCATGCGTTGTTTACTACTGTGTCCATGTTTCGCACAATGTTTCCCCATCCTGACATAGCAGGTTTTTGCCTTGCCGAATGGCACCTGCCGCGAAAGACAGTTGTCCCTCGTCCAGGTCCGGTGTCCGTCATGGTTGCCCGGTTACATCAAGTTGCCTGGTCTTGGTCTCACGGTTGTGTCTTCCGAGATCACCTTCACAGGGAAATTGATGTCATGTTTTGCCCCATCCAAGAGTTGCATGCCAGGTTGTCACAATCCTGGCAAAGTCGGATACAAGGTCAAGCAGCAGAGAGGAAAACCATGGTAGGAATGCAGTGGATGTCTCCACAGTTAACCACAGTAACTCTGAGAAAGAAAGACCCACAGCAACAAGCGCTCTTGCGTGCAAGTCTGAATGGCACCTTTTTCACTGCAGATAGGTTGAAGCATCATGAACAAAATAGAGGGGTTTAAGGGGCTGATTTGTGTCAGTTCTGCTCTCAGCCGGATTCCCAGGTGCATCGCCAGTGGCTATGTCCATTTTTTTCTGCAGTAAGGAAGATGCCACAGGACCAAATAGATGGGATTCTGGCGTTACCTATGAGTGTTTCCGCTCATGGCTGGGTTCCTGAACCTCCCAGCCTGCCGCGATTCCAACAGGCCATTTTGCAGATACCTGATGAACACCGCGATTTTGTGTGCCCAACACGGTTGCCACCCACAGTAGATCTTTTCACTGACGGAGGTTGCCTGGCTCCAACAAGTGTACAGGGTCGTTTGGCTTCATGGGGGGTAATTTTTGGGGACCTGGATACTCAGCGATTCTGGCCCATAGCCAATGGTTTAGTGCCGGGGTGGACTCAAACCGCCCTTCGGGGCGAAATCTGGGCAGCAATCAGTGCCATGCGGTTCGCCATCTCCCACCAACGACAAGTGAGAATCTGGTGCGACAACCACACAGTTGTCACCAGGTTACAAAAGTTTAGCAAGCGACATGTTCGAATCAAACCAAATGCCACTAATGCCGACCTGTGGACAGTTGCGCAACAGCTGGTCCAGACTCTGGGCCCAGCCTTGCAGGTCACCAAGATTAGTAGCCACCAAGACCCACTGACTGCCAAGGACGAAGCAGAAGAATGGTTGTTTGCAGGTAATGAGGCAGCTGATTGCCTGACTCAAATAGTTTTCAGCCGTCACAAGCAATTGTATGAGTTATGGGACCAACTGCAGAAAGAACTTGAAGCAATCCATGTCTTGCGTAACAAAATGCACGATGTGATCATTTCTGTGGCTCAAGTAGCAGTTCAAAGCAAAACAAGTCGAGGAGAGCAGAGGGATAAACAACACCCGAGCCGCATCAATGTGAATGAGGTTAATGAGGTGAAATTTTGCCCGCTTGCTGACAACAGTTTTGCCGACAGCTATCAGTGTGAAGAGGGACAGCGCATCGCAGGATGGTTGCAAACAGTTTGTGACCCAAGTGAACCTGTCCAGGCCATTTCGTGGTTTCAGCTTAACATTCTGTATGAGTTTCAAAACAACACTGCAGGAGTTAGGTACAACAAAAGTCGTAAGAAATGGGAAAATGCATCAGCCAGCACAAAGTCAGCAGATTTTGTAGCACGTACGAAGAGCTTTAGCAAATGGATTCAGGGTGCGTTGCAGTCGCAAGCCCATGCAATTCAGCCGCTCCATCTCAGGCCTTCATCCGAACCACTACAATTCTGGACGATGTGCGTACCAATCAGAATCCGGAAACATATGAGAGACACCAGTGATGAAATCTTCAGAAGCAGTGCACCCAGGTTGACTACCGTGCGTAGTTTGAGGCGTCTGTGACAGACAGACCTTTTGGGACTCAGGTAAAATCCTGGGGTCTCCGCTTAGCCGAGACTCTGGGACTTTGGGAAACGTGAGGAAACGTGATGATTAGTTTGGGGGTTATCATACTCCATTGGGAGAATCCCATTCTTAACCAACCAGCAGAATGGAATGACAGAGCGTCTTGAACCCTGCTCATTTTGTTAAGGGGCAATTTATTGGTAATTCACGGGCAACTCCCCCAACAAGATTCAGAAAAGGTGCAATTTGCAACTATTTGAGGGGATTTAAGTAAGGTTATGATTTGGAGTTGAGAAGGAGGAATATCACAAGCAGCATCTGGAAAGTGTATGAGATATTATTGGTGGACATGTTTTCCTGTTCGCCTATTAATTTTCTTGCGGAACTCCTGTGGTTTCAGTATATTTATACAACAGAAGTTGAGCAGTTCCACAGGCCGTGCTCCGATTGATTGGGGACGTTGGTAGTCAAGCCCTGGGGTACCCCTAAGATATGGGATAGTTCAAGGTGAATTTTCATGTAGAAACCAGGGTTCCAACTTCTTGGCTTGGACCATATTGGACCGGGAGTTGATTGGGGTCAACCACAACTAGTTGCCACTTGCATTTGATGGTCCCTTGCCATTATAGCTATGATCCAGGAGCCGGTAGATGAGGCAACGGCCCAAGTGAATACGCCCGCCTTATGCTATTCATAGCGCCAGTTCAAACGTGATGTGCCCAATAGGGTGCCGTGATCTGCTGAGGTACCCTCTACATGGTGGCCCCCAAAAACGAGACCGCCGCTTCCATCCTGGAGAGGGAACCCAAACCTTCGGACGAGATTGAGGGTGAGGATGACATGGTTCCTGTGGGTTGCCTGGTAACATTTCCCAGATGGAAACAATCCAAGTGTGAACCTCAAGCAATGATGAGTCCAACCTCTGGTAGTCAAACATGGCTAGCTATAAAATCTTGCCCCAAAAAGATGATTTTTCCATTCGCACCTTCATTGAGTTCGTGGATTTTCCAGTGGTCTGCCATGTTTTCCCTCAGGTTTTAGAGACATCACCACCACCATGGATGTTTACGCCAAGGATCGTGACTTGGCGAAGGTGGAAAGCGCTTGGAAATGGTACCGTTACCTTGGAGTTTGGACCATAAAAAATTGGAAAAGGACAATCCTGCGGAAAATATGGAGGGGTTAATGTCAATAGATGTAAATGATGGTGAATTGTTTTTTTTAATTTTTTTTTCATATCTTGTCTTGGGGGTTGCTATACATTTTTGTCGGGGGGAACAAGATCAAGGTCACATCTAGGTGGCGTTAAACAGTGAATATAGTGACCCGTGGCCCCCCAACAAAAGTCATTTGCCCTTCACCTCCGCCTGCTGATGATCCTCCAAGCAATAAATCCTCTGGACATATCCGCTGTTGTGAGGGTTTTTCACCGCGCCAGCCAAAAGGTGATGTTGCCCAATGGGATCAACCATCTTCCAATGGGCCTGGAAGATGATGTTCTTTTTCAAATTCGCACCCAATATATGAGCTTTCTAGGGTCCAATGTGACTCCCAACCAGCAAATAAACATCCAAACCCACTTCCAACCAGGCAGGTATCACCATCTATAACTGACTTTTTTCCACACAGATGGACTTATATTCATATCATTTCATATCCGATTGTAAGCCCTTATGACAAGGTCCAGATGGACCATAGAAAAACCCATCACCGAGGCAAAACGCAGGGAGCCGGCGCCCGCGCCCTGGAGAGCGCCCTGGCGGTGCCGGGCGTCAGCCTCGCCACGCTGGCGCGGGACGGGCTGCTGCGCAGCCTGACGCTGGCGCACCAACGCTGCCCCCAGAGCCGCTCCGTGGCGCTGTCGTTGTGCCGGGTCATGGGGAAGGCCATGGATCCTGGGAAGTGGAACAGGGAGGATGTGTTGAACATGCTGGAAATATTCTGGAAATGATATGAAATCATCCTGTAGCTACGTCAGAAGCACTTAACGATGTAAGTTTTGACCTTGACTATTTGAGTTGCTAATGAGCACTTATACAACGCTCGGTAAATTTTTGGCGACTTTGCCAATGGTGGCACTGGTGGATTTGGTAGGGGGTTGCGGGGCGATGGCTGCCTATAGTCCAAAGCAAATCATATGTCGGGTTTAATATGTATAATATGTCGGGTGTGAGGAAAGAAACACACATCCCGTAAACCAAGACCTGGGATATCAGCTACCAGATATTGGGGAAGCTTGCCTAGCGAAGATTTGGGGACTCCCCAATCAAAACCATACCTAAACCCCCATTGGAGGGTCGAAATTAGGTGATTTCATCCCCATCCACCCATCTTTCGAAGGAATTAATCATGATTATATGGTTATATAATATGAATGGGGCACCAAACTGATTCACCTGCACCATCTCCACATCCTTGGATATCCGATAATTAAAGTGTTGATGGAAAACTAAATGGAGGTTTCTAGCTGGGAAATGCTGGGAAAAACATCGAGTTAGATGGATTTGTTTGATTACCGAAATGTGAGCTCCATTAGCCATGAATCACCATTACTAGCCATAGACCATTATAAACCAATGCCAAACACGATATATAAGCCTTTATCCATTTAATTATTAACTATCATATATATATATATAATTTTATAGATTATTAGCCGTTTATCATCATTTATTGGTTGATTATATCCCATCCAATAAGCAATTATCCATTCTTTATTCATTTATAAATCAAACAGTATATCACCATTAATTAACTATGCATTAACCATTTATTTTTACCAGTTGGTATCATTTAATGAACCAATCTAATCATATTGGTCATTATTAACCACGCATTAGCACTTTTTTACTATTTAACCAACATCGTATGGTTTGTTATTAGTTCATCACATGCCCATCATCCCATCACCTATTTGTTGATGGTGAAACCTCCATGAAATCAGAAGTCACACGGGAGGGTAACACCATTCATGATATAATATCTTTATAGATACCAATTCATTAAAACCATCTAACCATCTTTATTCACATTTAGCCATCAGCCAATGATAACCATGTGGTATTCCCAGAACCATTTACGCTCTGGTAAACTAACATAGCTATGGAAAATCACCATTTTCAGTGGGTAAATCCACTATAAATGGCCATTTTCAATAGCTATGTTAAATTACCAGAGGGTATTGAACCCGAAAAACCATGGCAGCCTTGAGCACCAGGTGATGCTCCAGGCCGAAGAGCATCTGCCGCCCGAAGTCGGGATCTCGGCGCTCTCCTGCGGCGCCGCGCTGCCGCGCGACGCGGAGGCGGTTGTTTTGGCGGAGGGAAGAGGGGACCATGGGAAAAACCCATGGTTTTCTAGGGACAAAATGGGGCACCTGCAACCTTGGGGACATGTTAGGGAATATTTATTGAATATTTATGGAAAACAGATGAAACATGATGGTGAATGTAGCAGAAAATGATGAAACACATTGGGAAAAACAAGGGTTTGTTGCTGAACATGTGGCCAAACTATGCGTAGCCTCCGCATCAACCCAAACAAGTCATAATATATATATATAATTAATATATATATATAGTTATATATATATACATAACAAACATATAATACAGAAAGATCAATAGAATAAATACCACGTATACCTATATCTTCCAAGGGGTGTCAAATTTCAGGCCCTGCCTGTATTTCCAAGGGACCTGCTGTCCCGAGGTCATTGAGGTCATGAGTCGTGAGATTTTGGGTGTCTCAAATTTGAAACATATTGACAAAATCGGGATTTGTAGTTTTGAACTTATTCTTTCATGCACAGAATCGGGTTAGAAGATGATTGATGCTGGTGTTGGACAAAAGGTGGGGTTGACAGATGAATTTGCTTGTGGAAGGGGCAGGTTTTGGGATTCCATGGCTCATTTTTTTCCCTCTTATGAACACTTAAATGCACACACACACATATATATATATACCCTCTGGTTATTTAACATAGCCATGGAAAATGGCCCATGTATAGATGGTTTACCTATTAAAAATGGTGATTTTCCATGGCTATGCTAAATAACCAGAGGGTATATATAAAACATTTGTGCCTGGAGTCTTCATGACATCAACCAGAGCGTGAGCAACTTGTTGGGGGAGAGTGTTGCAGCTTAACACAACAAGACACACACCTTGACAGATTTTTGGTACCTTGATTTTGTTGACACTGTTTCGCAGCCCTGGCCCTCCTTTACCAATCACACCAAGAATCTTATTTTTGCGCTACTGTATTTCCTGGTATGATATCATCAGTACTGTGCATTTTCCCAAGCCTCATCCACGTCTCCAGATGTTTCAATGCACCTCCCTTGAGATTTTTTTAACGGTTGGGCCGGGCATTCCCCAAGACTCTCATTTTAATCCATCCAATCTCCCTGTTTTTATGTACGTAACCCCAACATGGAACTCCAAAATAAATAGATCCAATGTTCAATAGTACAGCCGGGTTTCAAGAAGGGTACTATTAAATTAGGGGCAAGGGGTGATATCCAACAGATGATAACCACATCGATGGGTCATGGTTGCAGCCACCTCAGGTGGTTGTCACATCACTGGAAGCCGTGTACGTGTTAGCGCCAAAGCTGCGCAACCTGTGGGCGACGTCCAGCCTTTGGGACCAGCGAAATCCGTTGCCTCAAGCTCCCAGTAGGACACAGCTGATGTCAGGGTAATATAGGTAATACAGGTAATATATGGGTCATGTGGTTAAAACAAGAACAACACACCCATATATTGATGGCTTACACCACCCATTTACGGTGATTTGGGGGATGGTTTATGGCATTGTCTTACCCACATTAGTCGCGATGAGGCAAATCAAAGAGGTCTGGATTTCCCCCCTCTCCTTCTGGGGCAAAGAAAAGTGCATAGGCACCACACCAAAGTTGCACTTCAATATCTCCAGTCATGACCATAGATAGATATAGATAGTGTTTTCCAACTTCTCATTCATTATCTGTACTTGGATGTGCATCGCAGTAGGTAAATGATTGATAACCCAGAACCCATTAAATCCATTAATCTAGCTGGATATGTTCCATATTCAAGTTCATCCGAATTTTAGATTCAGATTTTTTCCATGTTTTTCCATTCCTCTTCTTTTTTGGTGATTTTTTTCTACCCCCCGGACCGCCCTCCGAACGAACGAACCAATCGCCTGAGGCAACGCGGCAGATCGCCTCAGCGTGCTGGCGGGCGACCTGGTCAGGTTGGGCGAGGTCAGGCACAAGGACCAGCACTGCGTGGGGACGCTTGGCTCAGCCGCGGCGTGTTGATTCGCCACGTGAGAACCACGGAGAACCGAGAATCACGCTGAGATTGTGGGTATATCATCACTATTAACCAAGCAGAATATGGTGAGATATTGGGGATACACGGACATTTCACCAGCCAAAATGGAGATTTCACGTTTTTGTTTTGATTGAACGAACTGATTGAACTATGTTTTTCATATTATAATGGGATCTAATGCGGTTTTTCACCAGCAAACTAACCAATCATTACCCAAGCATTTTCTGGGAACATGTTGGCGTTTTGGGTTTCACCAGGTTTCCTATGGGGATTTGACCAGCAACGTGCTGGAGGTTTTTCCTGGGTTTCCCGGGGGATAATGGGATGATGGGATGCAGGATGGGACACGGTTTTACCACCGAGTTGCGTGGTGTTTCCGAATGGTGAAATCCTTGAAGAGTTGACTGGGGAAGACCTACAAAGTGGGCGGAAAGTTTGTGGATTGAGATGCTGGGTTGAAGATTTATCCATTTTTGGGAAGGAATAAAAAACACCATACGACAACGGAACATCACAATTTCTAAGGGGATAAATCCTGGTAAACCCTTCTGGAAGACTTGGGGTACCATGGTGATTTTCGCAGGGCCCTGCTTTGTTGTTTGTAATCCCATCAGCGCTGAATATGGGGCCTGAGAATGGCGTTAATATTACCGTATATCAAATAGCCATTTAGGATCATTTAGGATCATTAGATTTAGGAGTAATGGTGACTAACCAATGGATTTACGGGCACCCTATCAGATTTTCAACACAGCCATAAATAGCTCCCGTTGAATCCCGAAGACGAATGGGTGGAGCACAGGATTTGATATAAGAAATGGCTGAAGCTCTTCGTGTTTCGGTAGACCCAAGGTCTTCCCAGCCGATGATCTTTTCATCATTGTTCTTAATAGTACTGTAATGATAATCATCCCGGCGGGTGGGTAATTGAACGTGGCGGCGTTGCCTTTTTGATGTTTGTGGATTCTGTGCCGTGTTGCGTTTTTCAATGGATTTCATGTTTTTTTGTCATGTTTGCGTCTCATTTCCATTGGTTTCATTGTTTTTCTGTGCGCAGCCAAGACATTTTGACAGTTCATGCCCAGAAAACTAAACTACTCTATTTTTTTGGGATCATTTCACAAAGTGACAGTGGCTGGGCCATTGTTTGACACACGAAAGCGGCTTTCTTTTCTGCAGAGCTGGTATGAGCTGGTGACATCAGTTTGGTCACATTTGTGCCAAGGTCTTGCCAGAAAGAGACATGAGGAAATCTCCGTGCACGAGAGCGACTAGAAAAGTAATTACCGGACAACCGATTACACAACCCCACCTCATGTCTTACAAGAGATGCTAGCGTAGTTGACAGTTGATAGAGAAGAAACGCCGTATTTGGAAGATATCATATAAGAGAAGCTAACGTAATTGGAAGTTGATAGAGAAGGTAACAACGTACTTGGAAGATGTCTTACAAGAGATGCTAACGTAGTTGGAAGTTGATACATAAGATAACAACCTAGTTGGAAGATGTCTTGCAAGAGATGTTAACGTAGTTGGAAGTTGACAGAGAAGATAACAACATAGTTGAAATGTTAAAGAAGCCAGTAACGCAGTTGGAAGTTCTTATTGCAAAAGATGTTGATACCCGACCCCACCCAACCCCACCCCGTGCAAGATGTTAGAGAAGTCAAAAACGTAGTTGGAAGTTCTTACTGCAAAAGATGTTGGTACCCCACCCCACCAGACCCCACCGCAAGATGTTAGAGAAGTCAATAACGTAGTTGGAAGTTCTTACTACAAAAGACGTTAATACCCCACCCCACCCCACCTCCCCCCAAGATGTTAGAGAATTGAAAATAGTGACAACTACACGTTCGGCTGTCCACCCGTAGGCATAATCATCATCATGATTGTGATTATAAACTAACCTTCAATAACACCAGACGCAGGACCCACAGGGATTCAATGCATCTATGATTGTTTGGTGATTCTATCATCGTCCGTTACTATCATATATAATGATCGATAAATAATAACTATTACCACTTCTGACATCATTATACAGAGATGGTTTCTTGCCTATCACTACCTGTTAATTAGTGGATAAGTTTATATGCAGCTATATATATATATATGCATGTAGATACTTAGACTTAGATATTTCATCATGGACACGCACACAGAGAGAGAGAGAGAGATATATATATATAATATAATGTCACAGACAGAAGCAAGGAAGGAAAGGCCGAGGGAAAGAGGTTCAATCAGATGGTTACAAAGTGGCTCAACCAAAGCGCGTTTGGTTGGGGCACTTTGTATTTGGCAAGTAGAATACGAGGAGGGTAATGTTAACGCTGGTATGCTAGGATGTCAGGGGGAGAGTTGTGGAATGATTATGGTGCGTGCGAGCTAGAATATCATAATGATACGCTGCTGTTAGCGTGCCAGCAACATCGAATGGTAGCTTATTTCAACTCAAAAACTGACACTCAAAAGGTCGCACCACACATTCTCTCAATACACATCTCTCTTTGCCCAACTAGCTTTCGCCCCCTTCCCTCTGGCCTCAAGTATTATTATTGCCCTGCTTCTTCTCACCATTATGATCATACATACCCTCCAATAGCCAAACATGGCTGGAAAATCCCCTTTTTTCAGCTGAAAACAAAGAAATCTTCGCCTCCCCGGACCGCCGGTCTCCCCTCAAAGGATGCTGCTGGTGATCCTCACCACCTTGGCCAGTGATGGACATGGCCTGGGCTCTGGTGGCGTGGCGGGGGAGCGCTGGCGCACGGCCCTGGGCCGCGCAGCGGCGGTGGCAATTCCGTTGCGCGTCTTCTTTGAGCACGCGGAGAATGTGGCACCTTGAACTTGACCATCTGAAATGGTGATGTACCCTCTGGTAAACTAACATAGCTATTAAAAATGGTCATTTATAGTGAGTTTTCCCATTAAAAATGGTGATTTCCATAGCTATGTTAGTTTACCAGAGGGTAATATGATTTAATGGGATTTAACGAACAAAAATGGTGACTTGAATGGGATTTAAGCATTTCAAATAGTGTTTTAACCAACACAAATTGTGAATTGAATGGGGTTTTAAACCCCTAAAACGGCACAATGTCCTAGGGCCCTAGGGTAAACTAAAATAGATCTGTAAAATTCATGGGGGGAACCCGTTCGGAAAATGATTTACAAATGGTGGATTTTTCACATCTGTGTCAATTTATATATCCCAGGAAAATAATAGTTCTGTAAGTGCATGACCTGACCTAAGTGAATGAAATGACACTACTACCTGGAATGTACGTACACGCACATACACACATAACACACATATTTATATATAATATATATTTCTCTCTCTCTCTATCTCTCCTGGGTTGTCTTAGGGAAAACTCACTTTTTAATTTAATGGGGATACAATGGGATACAGTCTGATTTGCATTGATTTTATCATACAGTTTTTTGAAGCAAAACCTTGTGATACAGAGAGGAACATTACAACCTTGATAACGAAGACCTGGTTGTATTTGGTATAATAATCATAATCTTACAATAGTTATGGTTATGGTACTTTGCAACAGTCATGTTACCCTCCAGTACATGAACCAACGCAAAATGAAATCTTCATGGGAACTTACTGAAAAAGGGAAAGGACAGGATTTATATGATGCAGCATGTTTCCATATAGTATGTATTTCCATCCATATTGAATGAGAATTACTTACGTATTTAGATACGGAACTCCATGATTTTCCCGTTTGGAAAATGACTTGCATTCATGGTGGCTTTTCCATATCTACAGAATCTACATTGATTTGCTGTACCGGAGGGCATTTTGACGAGCAAAATCCGGCTATAATTGATGTAATTTTACAACGGAGAGTTTGAATGAGACGTGGTGAGATAAGGAGGGTCTAGGTTGCTCTTCCTTTCGATCTCTCTTTCTCCCTATATCCATCCTGCAGTCTTTATCTATGTGCGTGTGTGTATATTCTATGCAGCGCATGCCCTCACAAAAAGATAAACCAAAGTATTCTCAGCAGCAGATGCCCACACAAAAAGATAACCCAAAGGTTTCAAACACTTGAACCACTTTAACTTTCAAAAAAAACATTCGTACCCATGCATATTTTATCACCACTCACCAGCAAAGGTTCAGGCTGCATTTTTTGGACGAGACCAAATGAATCCAAATGACTTAGCTGCCATTTCGGTATTTCGGTGCGTGTTGCGTGGTGTTTTGGCCTCCCCACCGTGTTCCAGGACATGGTGACTGCTGCTGGGATCTGTTTGCGCTGCATGACCTACGGCTCGGAGGAAACCTGCGGCCATGCGGCCAGGGCCAGGGCGTGTCCCATCCTGCTGAGTACCTGGGCACCAAAAAGGGCACCAAACACTGGGACATGTGACATGTCATTTCGAAAAGCTACATCCCATGAATTCCAACTACATTCTCATTCTAGTACCATGTTTTCCCATTATGTAATCATTATGTCCCAATTCAATCCAATTCAGCATATTTCCATATATTTCCATAATTATTGCCATTGCATTACCATGATATCAACAGGATCAGGTGACTTTCCCAATTTCTGCCGGACACAACCGGCGCCACCGTGAGGCACCCTGCGGACCTACGCGGATCAGCCCGCCACCGTGAGGGAACTGTTGGCGGCACTGGCCAACTGCGCCAGCATGAAATCCATCAAGGACGGCCGGGGAGAGGAGAGGTTCGTTGCTGGTCGATTTAGGACTGATTTTGATATTACCATTCCAAAGAGATTGAAACCAATAAAATCTGATGCAACAGATTGTGATGAGGTAGTTTTTTCTATCTGTTTGGGGGTCACTAAAGGCCCGACCATTTGCTGATATTACTGTAGTGTCCTTGTGGTGTGGTTCATAGCTAGCACTGTGCCGCCCGCAGGAAGACTTTCAATCGGGCCTTCCCCAAAGTGCCGAAGTGATCTACCACGTCATGGAGCAGTCGTCAGATCGGGAACCTGACGTGCTGGCGCAAGGGTGCCGAGCCTTCGGGGCGTTGTACCTCTGATGCTATCTGGTTTATCTCAGGGTGGGGCCCCGAATTTATGGCATTTTTTTTGATCTGGAACAGGTTACAACCGGGAATTTGGAGGTCCAAATTTTGAGATCACCTCTCATACTCCTCCTTGAGGTTAGGGACACTGTAAGTTGTTTGCTCTTGTAGTCCCCATTTCTCGAAATTTATGGGTCGCATCCCATGTGCCATACAATGTTGCACAACTAGTGCGGTCATCTGAGTCAAGGGATCGCCCGTGTAAGCCCAACAAATGAGCCCCTTGAAGTGGCGCTTGTGCTGGGTTCGATGCAAAAATTAGGCACTGAGTTGACTGAACGCTGCAGGTATGCCACGGCCAACAACGAGGTGAACCTTGGCTTGAAGCCTGGGGAGAAGATGAAGACGGCCTCCAACCTGCAGTGGAGCCTCTGCGGCGTTAACGGAGTGAAGAGGGGATGCAGACCCTCACAGCTTAGAAGCTAAGGAGCAAGCTGAACAACGCCATCATCAAAACGGTCATTGGAATCACAGCACCTGGGTGGAGCAGGTTTGGTTGGGGAAACTGGTGATGCTGGATTTTGAATGCTGATGCGTGACTTTTTGGCCGTGTGGAGTAATAGAATGGCCAGATAAAAGTCAATTTTTCTCTTTTTTTGGTGGGGGTACGGTAGGGTACATAAGTTTCACCATGGTTTGTCAGACTTAGATTCTCATGTTTCAAGCTACCAGGGTTCAATGGAATTGCTGACCACCTCGAATCTGATTTTCACAGTTGAAAAACAGCGATTTTGCAGGACTGTATCCACTCAAGCCGACCCTATTTTCTATTTCATCAAATGGCACAAGTCAGCCATGAAACTGTAACACCATGGTCAGTTTGGTGGTCATCTACCTGCAGTGCATCCATTGGACATTTCAGGCAGGGAAAACAACCTGCAAACTGCACATGGAAATCCAAAAGGTATGGTCCAAAGATATTGAAAGATGAGGTTGCAGACATGGAGGTTACCTTCCTCCTGTTGTAACAACCCCTCAAAAATCTCAAAATCAAACCTGGCTGAGCTATGCTAAGCTCAGAGCAAGGTATAAACATCCGCAAATCATGGTTCAGTGGAAAGTTCCCACAATTTATTTTCTCACGGCCCAATACTGTTGCCGAAATCCCATCATATCCCACTACATCCTAGTACATCCCATTCAACATCCGTTATATAAACAATATACTTCTCATTTTCACCTTTTTTTCATGGAAAAACGCCGAAACAAACACCCCCTCTCCTCGGTCGCGGTTCCCCTGCCGTCCCCTGCCGTCTGCGGTCGGCAGATTCGAGGTGAACAAAGGCGACGCCGTGGAGGGCAGCGCCTTTGAGGTCCTCGGCTCGTCACGTCAGCAGAAGTTGGAAGACACGCGCCGACGCCTGGGGGAGCTCTGCATGTGCCGTGGCATGCCGTGGCAACGCTGAAACCGGCCGAGGTCCAAGTTGCACTTCAAAACAAGTAAACACATATAAACACAATAATATGTGTAAGAGGGATTAAAAGGGGAACATCAAGGGGATTATGATGGAATATGAATATGTAAGATTGCCCTTTCTATGAACGAGTGTAAGAGCTTTGTTTCGGATTTTTATGGTGCATTTTCCCATCATTTTTGCAGATTGGCGGAAGGAGAAGCAGGGAAACAAATGGGGTTGAAAAAACATGGGGACTACATGGGGATTTAAGAACAAAGAATGGGGTAAAATGTGGATTGACCAGAAAAGGAACCCATTATTGTATCTGAAGGAAATATCTGATCATATATTACGCACGCTCTACATGTCCAAAACACACAGTCGCGAGCCAAGAATCCAACCTCCCATGGTCGGAATCCACACATCCCAACCCGAGGCATTTGGCCAACGGATCACTGGCCGGCGGCCCGCAGTTCGGCCGCCTGTTAAGTTTGTCGGGCGAGCCCACGGCTGAATGCACCCCGCGCTGGAACTCCCTGCGTTCGCGGCTACAGGAGCGAGAGCGGAAGAAGGCGCCGCCGGCGGAGACGCTGCCGGGCACCGAAGGGTGAAACTGAAGAAAAAGCGCAGCGATGTGAAGCTCAGTTGGAGGGCCTTTCTTCTTGGGAGATTGGGAGTTGAATTCGGGAAAGTCATGAAGATGGCAGGTGGAAGGCACTGATGCAGGAAGAGCCATACCTGCAAGGGCCATTTGCACCTCTGCTCTGCCGAAAACTCAACCCATGGTTGCTACTGTTACGGAATGCCTACACACAAGGACCCAACTCCACAAATGATGGTTTACACATGGAACGCCTCCCTAGTCTTATAGCATGTCCGGAAGTTGAAGTTGAACTGAAGCCCACATTTTTGATGGTTCAAAGATGTTCAAAGCACAAAAAGATATATTTTCCAGATGTTTGATATAAATCGAGCCGTGCATGATGATCAACTCATAGAATTGGATGATGGGAAAATTTACAGGAAAGCCCTATATTTGATGGTAAAAACTATGGTTTCCTGTAGATTTTCCCTTAATCAACCGCAGTTTTTTTGGTCCAAGAAATCGACCAGCGGCACCCTTGGCACAAAACCCCTGCAGAAGCTTCGAAGGTGTGCTGCGTCATGGGGATTGGACGGATTCGACGGATTCGACGAAGATTCGCCCGAGCCATAAAGCAACACATTGTTGGGGTGGTAAAATAGGGTTGGCTTCATACATGAAGGTTATCTGCAATTATATCACCATTATATCATAACCATAACATATACCCTCTGGTTATGACTAACATAGCCATGGTATAGACGGCCCATAGAAATAGATGGTTTACCGTTCTTAAAAATGGGTGGATTTTCCATGGCGAACTGTTCGTCATAACCAGATGCTATCGCCATAACATATATCTGCTGGTTTGCCCTTTATCTCCATTATTTCATTCACTTGACCTTGGGGTTGAACCCCTCACATCCCGCAGCACGCTGTTCCCAGGAGATGTTGTCCCGAGTTGCTCAAAGCCTCCGAAGTGGGGGCTCAACCGTTTGGTGAAATGTTGAAACACCAAGTGAGTTCATGGGGATCATTATGGGTTAATATATAGTATATATATATGATATATATCTATATAATATAATATGTACATATATATATAAAGAAATCCTCTGTTGATGGGTTTATATACTAATATCTACTAATGAGTTTATTGGGGATTACTACAACCCATACAGGAATATTTGCCAACAAACTTGCATCATGAGATGCAATAGGGGTATTTTTCATGGCTCAACTGGTGAAATCATTTACCCCACCTGGGGGAATAATCTGCCAAATAGATCCAAATAGGGGGATTGAATACCACCAATATTGTTTCATTATATTTTAACTTATGAGCATGAGTGAGCATGAGCGTTGACCCTACCACCATAAACAATCCGAAAACCCCGGTGGCGATTCGTCCAAGCTTGAAGTGATCAGGGATCATCATTGAATCATGTTTTAGCAACCCCACAAAGATATAGAAAAGATTCGAAAAGTAATTCATCACCAACTTAGCAAGAAATTTACTTCCTTTTTTGGGGCGGCGTGCTGTCAGAGTTAAACATGGTTGAATATTTCTCATCAGTTTCCATTTTCCGTTATTTTTTGTTCCATCATTTTTGTTCTTTGTTAACTCATTTTTCTGACGCCAGGTGGAAGCCGTGTGGCCGCACCCATCGCTGGAGCCTTGCGGAACAGCTTCACCGTGGTGCAGGAGGCGGCTGGATAGTAATCCATTCATGATACTATGGATGATATTATATATATATATTAATTAATTATATATATATAATTATTTATACATATATATATATATAATTATATATACACATATAATTATATATATGATATATCAGTGATATATCATATGTCATGAGATATATATATATAATGACTTGTAAAGTTCATATTTGACTGGAAATGGATTATTCATTGGATGAGTTTGATGAACAGTTAATGATCAATTCTCATTGGATTCATTAAGCTCATTGAACTTGTGATTATTTTGGTGTTAATCACTGGAGATCCAATATTAATAATTTGTTTGTTAATCCATATGTTAATCCCTTCCTTTAATCTTCAACCATCCCGGATTGTATGGTTCCAAATGTCTGATTTAATCCCCTACATGATTGGTTTCTGGGGGGATGTTTGATGGAAGGGATTACTTCAGATAGGTGAAGTCTTATGATAGTAAACCATGGTAAACCATGGTAAACCCAATAACAAACCTACCCGGTAGGGGATGGTTTATATGAGCCATTCATCATGATTTTGGAGATGGTGTATTATTGGGCTTACTGATTCACCAGGAGTAAATCATAGAGAAGAATCATTCAATTGGAGTAATTTACCACAGTGTGCCCATATATAAAGCAACATAAAGCTACTAGCAACCCCCAAGAAGATGGAAAATAGTAACGTCCCAATCCAAGGCAGTGGCAATTTGAACCTTGTCTATCTCTTTAGTAGCAAGCATATATATATATATCTATAATGATATAATGATAAGGATGGTTATAATAAGAGTTGATGAACACGAAATGTGGGAAAGCCACTGATGATAAGATTAAGTAAGTGTGACATATGATGAATATGAGAGCACTAATAAAAGAATATAAACGAAACAATGAGACTGATAATGATGACAACATGAGCACCACAACTAACAAAGTATCATTCATGAGAAAGTCATCATGACGTTAACACCTTTTTCTGTAAGAGGAATAGTATCTAGCATCCAGCTGCAGAAGTGACAGTGATAGTCATGGGGGATTATATAAAAGAAATCGGATGTGGAATTGACCAACATAATATTTTAGGATAGTGGGTTAAACCCAAGGATCAACGTCTGTTTTGACCGACCTTACTGGCCCACGTGGCCTCTTCGCTGGGGTAGAGCAGGTCATCTGGAAAGCAAACACAACTCGTCTGACTTTTCCATTGATGAATGGACGTGAATGTTGTTGAATTGCAGGGACGTTCCATGGAGTTTCTGACTGCTTGGAAGTTGGGGGGCTTTCCAAGGATCCATGGTTGGTTCTACTACCATCTGGTTGTGACTAACAGTTCGCCATGGAAAATCCACCCATTTTTAAGAACGGTAAACCATTTATTTCAATGGGCCATCTATACCATGGCTATGTTAGTCATAACCAGAGGGTATATCTACCATAAACCATAGTTATTGGAGTTACTAACCAACTAACCAACTAACCAACTTAACCATATTTTCCATGGCTATGTTAAATAACCATAATGTGGAATGAAGGCAACCACTCCAGCTGTTTTGTTTTGGCTGTGTGAGGCCACTCCGCGACTGAACCGTGGGGGCTCCCAGGGTGGATTTGAAAAATGCCGCCATTCCAAGGGGTTTTTCAAAAATCGTTGTGACATAGTTATGACAGATTTTTTTCATACAAACCTAAGTGAGTTATCCATTTTCCGGGCCATTTTCCGGGTACCCTCTGGTAAACTAACATAACTATAGAAAACAATTTTTAATGGGAAAATCCACTATAAATGACCATTTTCAATAGCTATGTTAGTTTACCAGAGGGTACCATTTTTCAGCTATGACATCCTGACGGAGTTCTCCGAGGCTGTGAGCTCTATGTGCCTGGCACCCAAGCCAAGATCATCCCAAAGGCGCAAAGGGCCATAGAGAGAAAACCTGGTGACGGCAGATATCACTGGGATGAAAAAAAGGATGGGCATTGAATGCAGATATCTCAGATTAATATGGATTAATGGGCATTGAATGGGCATTGAGTAGTGATAAAACATGGGATCCAATTCATGTTTGATGATTTTGATGGACATGAATTGTGATAAAACATTGGATTTTCATGGGAATATCACTGGGATCTACTTTCACAAAGATGTCGATATTAATGGTTTATACATCCAATAGCTATGGTTTCATGTTAGACATGTCGAACTAGCTGGTGGGTATAAACCATCTGAGGAACCGGACGTTTGGGGATCATTTAGGGGTACACCCAATAAACCCTAAGGCTTATCATTGGGTTTCTCATTAATGTGGTTAAAACAATAATGAACCCATTTATGGTGATTTTGGGGATGGTTTATTATTATTGTTTTAGCCACATTATGGTTTAAGACAACTGGGATTTATGGCAGATGGTATATCAAATTAGTTGGCCTGCGGTGGTGGGAAAAAAACATTTGAGTATAATGTGCCAAGCCCAATGCCATACCTCCAGTTGAAGAGAGTTGACAAATTTCACTACCCATTTCTGGTTGGGAATGGTTTGTGATTGGGTCGACCACATTACTTTGGATGGTGATGATGATGATGATGATGATGATGCCAGTGGTCATCAGTGGTCACACTGGAAAAATGAAACGTAGTCGCCAGCCCTTTTCAGCCGCATTCCTATTGCGCAAGATCCAATTTTTCAGTGGTTCCAACCCACAATTCCAGACTTGGTTGAAGGGAATTTCTGCAGGACCCTCCTGCTGCATTTCAATGCAACAAAAAGAAGAAACCACAATGACCAATGGTTTTCGATTTTCCATAGAAAATCATTGGACATCAACCCATGCCGGGAATGAACATCCTCAGGCAATGAGGGAAACCAGCCTTTCCAGACCCACATATGTCATATTGTTGTTTGTACATCCTCTGAATTCTTTATTATTGTTGGTCAAACAGTATTTTTTAGTGGCTAACTCACCCATAAGTTAATGAACCCCATCAACTAGTTCGACAGATCTACCATAAATCCAAAGTCATCCAATATCGCTCACTGAGTTCAACCAACTTAGCTGACGAACTGGGGCAACAAAAGCCGTGGTATGCCGTGGTGCTGGTTCAGCAATGATGTTAAATCACGGAAAAATCCTATGTTTTCAGATGTTTTCAGGATTTTTTCCATGGTGAAGCTACCGTTTTTTTCCATGGTGAAAAACCGCCAGGGCCTGCCCTGGCAACTTACCAACCGGCCGAAAAAAGGCAGCCAAGTCTGCGGCCGACGTGGTGGTGATGGACCTGGAAGATTCCGTGGCCATTGGAGAAAAGGAGGTCGTCTGACTGGGACGTCGGTGAGTCGGTGTCTGACTGTGTGATACCCTCTGGTAAACATACAAAAAGCCATTGAAAATGGCCATTTATAGTGGATTTACCCATGAAAAATGATGATTTTCCATAGCTACGTTAAATTACCAGAGGGTATTTTTCACGGGAACCGATCATGGGAAATTGTGGGATTTTTTCAGACCCAGAAAGTATGATGTCAATATGTGGCATTTATGTGAAGATGTTTGGGATTGAATCCCAAACACGCCGTCGAAAGATGATGAAACAGCAAGGGGCAGCCGATTTTCACATTTTCACATGTCCAGGGATTAGACCGTGCCAGGTGGCTCGAAAGAACGTGATCCAAGCATTGAAGGTGTGGGATGGGGAGCGATGGGACTTGTTGGATCTAACATCAAAGTTCTCACAATGATTTGCGATTTGTGTAGCTTTCTGATTTTGATTTGGGAGACACACACCACTTTCACTACGACTTGTTTTTCCTTGTTGGATGTTGCGCACTGGTGCTGGCAGGAAGTCGACTTTGGTAACAAGACGGTAGCAGCCGGGGAACTCAGCCGCGTTTTGACCAGGACCCGCGGTGCCGCAATGGTGAGGAAGGGGGTTTAGAAATTACGCAGTTCTAGAACGTTCTAGTTGGGATATGTTGGGAGAGATATCTTGCAGAAATCTACATTCACATATGCACGCACACAATCACAAACACAGACATATGTACACACAAATGTATATATATATGTCTTTGCTTTCCATCACATTGCACACACACACATACACACACACATAATTATATATATACACACTTGTATGTTTAAGCTCCAGTTCCTAGTTTTTGAACACACAAACTTCAAGAAAATTTCAGGCTGATACTGGCATGAGGTGGAACTCCAGAATGTCCCTTGTGCACCCTTTCATTGGTTGCTCCAGTTGGTGTATAGTCGGAATGTTGGTCTGCAAGTTGACCGAAATGATCCGAAATGGAATGCCCAAATGCACCCAATTGGTTCGGTTGGGACCCCCTATATAAATCTCATGATTTATCATGGTTTATCATCATGTTCGCTCTTATTTGGCATTTTTTGTTGTGGGTATTTTTCCGTTTTCACTCTCCAAGATATCCAAAGGTCCATTATTATCCCGAACATTGATGGTGAATAGTAAACAGATGTAAACAGTAAGCACGCCAGTCTTTGGCTTTGAGGGCCTTTTCTCTTCCAACTCTTATATTATCTCATATGATCTCCCATGAAAATTCAGAAAGGTACACCCTCTGGTAATCAAGCATAGCAGCTATAGAAAATTCACCATTTATTGCTGATTTCCCCATGAAAAAAACCCAGCAATCTTGAAACCTCCATAGGAACACTCCATAAAAATAGTTGATTGTCCCTCTAGAACCTCCATTTAATCATCATAAAATAATTAAAGTGAGTGGTATTAATTTTATTATAGTGATCACCATAAAATGCCATAAATAATATCTTAATATTCCAGTAATGGTTATCACTATAATTCTTTATGATTATCACTATAAGTACTACTGTAATACTGATAACCATTAATTATAGTATCAATTATAAAAAAAATTAACCATTACTGGTTTATATCCATTACTGGTAATGATCAGTATTATCAATTACCCTCTGGTAAATTAACATAGACCCTGGCAGATAGGGGTTGGAAGACTAGTTTCCATTAAAAATTGGTGATTTTCAGGGTCTATGTTAATTTACCAGGGGGTGTATAAGGAACCATAAGTGGATACCCATTTATATCCACCATGGTATCTCCACCATGGGCGACCGATTTTCCGGAGTCACGATCGACCGAGGTCCGTATCAATGGCCTCTACAGTCACCACATGTACCGCGACGTGGTGGACATCATCGAGCAGGCGGTCACGCCATGGAGTCGCCATGGCTAGCCATGGTCATTGAGAGTTAGTGTAGTTTAATATTGGTCAATAATGGTTAGATAATGGTTAGATAATGGTTAGATAATGGTTAGATAATGGTTAGATAATGGTTAGATAATGGTTAGATAATGGTTAGATAATGGTTAGATAATGGTTAGATAATGGTTAGATAATGGTTAGTAATGATTCATAATGGTGGAAAAAATTAGCCTCTGGTTATGACTAACAGTTTGCCATGGTTTGTTGATGGCCCTAATCGAAATAGATGGTTTACCGTTCTTAAAAATGGGTGGATTTTCCATGGCAAACTGTTAGTCATAACCAGATGGTAGAATTAATATGATGAAAACAATGCCATGAATATCTGTTACTAACTGTTAGTATCTAGAATATTCTAGAACATTCCTATTTTTTCCATCGTGGTTCCAATGGTCATCTAGATGTTGGTCTCTAGATGTGGATTCCAAATAGGAATCACGAATTTCAGATGATCAGTGGAGAGATGTTCAATAAACATATGTTCATCATCCCAAGCAGTGTTGAACAAGTGACAAACTTGTGCGTTGTGAAGTTTATGTTTGTTTGTAAGTTTGTAAGTTTGTTTGTTTGTTTGTTTGTTTGCCCGGATAGGAATACACACCCACACGCACACAGACATTTCTATACATATGTATGCACACACACACATATATATATATATATATACATACCTACCTACCTACCTACATACATACATGCATGCATGCATACATGCATACACACATATATATATATATATACACACACATATATATATATATATACACATACCTATACACATACATAAACATACATACATACATATATATATACATAAATATGTATATACACACATATATATATATATAAACATACATGCACATACATGCACATACATGCACATACATGCACATACATGCACATACATGCACATGCACATACATGCACAAAAATGCACATACATGCACATACATGCACATACATGCACATACATGCACATACATGCACATACATGCACATACATGCACATACATGCACATACATGCACATACATGCACATACATGCACATACATGCACATACATGCACATACATGCACATACATGCAAATACATGCACATACATGCACATACATGCACATACATGCACATACATGCACATACATGCACATACATGCACATACATGCACATACATGCACATACATGCACATACATGCACATACATGCACATACATGCACATACATGCACATACATGCACATACATGCAAATACATGCACATACATGCACATACATGCACATACATGCACATACATGCACATACATGCACATACATGCACATACATGCACGTACATGCACGTACATGCACATACATGCACATACATGCACATACATGCACATACATGCACATACATGCACATACATGCACATACATGCACATACATGCACATACATGCACATACATGCACATACATGCACATACATGCACATACATGCACATACATACACACACACATACATCCATGCATACATACGTACGTACGTACGTACGTACGTACACATACATACATACATACATACATACATACATACATACATACATACATACATACATACATACTACATACATACATACATACATACATACATACATACATACATACATACATACATACATACATACATACATACATACATACATACATACATACATACATACATACATACATACATACATACATACATACATACATACACACATACATATATTTATATACATACATACGCACACACACACACATATATATTTACATAATATATATATAATATAGTATGTATAATATATATATAGTTGCATTTATATACATATGTAACCACATAATGATAGCTACATTCGCCAAGCATCTGGCCAGGCGGGAGAACGATGCGATGTTTTCATCATCCCCATGGTGGGTGTGGACAAGGCGCGATGCGGGATGCCTTGGGGCCCAAGTTTTTCATCGGTCACATTTCACTGATAGTTCGGTGATGGGTCCATGGTTGCAGGTGAATATGCACCATATCCAACTCAGGTAGATCCATTGAAATCCATCCTGGATCCCGAATTTCCATGGATGATTTCCCCAAAAAAGGACACCATTCAATTTTGCATGAACTGTACTTTGAACTGTACCCAGGTTTCCTTCCCCCACCAATCTCTTTTTTTTGTCTTTCTTGCATGAGGATATGACCCTGAATTAGGGAAGCATTTGGCACGCCCAAAAAAGGTAGAAACAAAGATCCAAATCCAGGATGGTATAGTATAGATATTTACTTCATAACTCACAGGTTTCAGACTTTTCCATACATTTCCGCCATTTTTGGGGTCTGCCATAGACAAGTGGTCAATTGCTATTCCATCTTTTTGGAAATTGTTATGCAGCCAGTGATTTTCGAAACCCTCCGCCAAATTATTTGAAACCCCCTAGATCTGAGAATGGTCCATTTTCATCCATTTTCATCGCGGGAAGCCATCTTCCAACATCCAGTCGTCATGGTGGGGTCGTCATGTTTCCAACCTCCTGAAAAAAATCCAAGATGGCACGGGAACATCCATCAGATATAGATGATTTCCCCATTCAAAACCTTTATTTCTAATATTTCTAGGTGATTTCGCAGACAGCCACGGTTGATTATCCTACTAAATCCCCATTAAGTCCCATTAAGTCCCATTAAGTCCCATTTAAACTCTATTTGTTGATGGTCAAACCATGTAAAACCTCCATTAAATCACTATATAGTGAGGATAGGATGCCGCATGCCTCATGGTTTCAGGACGTCTACATGGCCGATGCCCTGGTGAGTCAAGTGGAGACCGCTGTGGGACGAAAGAAGAAGTTGGGCTTCGGCCTCATCATCGAAGCAACCATGGGCAGCTTGGCGCTCTCCACCGCTTGGTCTCGGGGTGCTTGTCCACGCAATTTACGGGGGTTAGTCATATTATATGTCCCAAGTGGATGAAAAAAAATGGCATGTTCCCACTGGGATTAGATATATAGGGGCTATGGACTATAAACAGCTTACTAAGTCACTAAGTGAGATGCACATCCAAGTGGGAAAATCGGATCGTAGTATGATTCGTTTCTATGAACGGGCTGGGGGTATCCGATGTTCACGACAAGATGAAGTTCCTGGGAGTTGGGAGAGGTTTGGGACTGAAGATTTTGGATGGTTTTGGATGATGTCTTTTTTATGGGATCTCAGTTGATGCAACAAACATGGGGATACCCCATGATCCCCAATTTTTAGGCCAGAATTGTAGGGGTGATGTTCTATCACAGCGATGAGCATCACTGGCCAACAAGGCTGATAATTCACTACTTCTTGGGATTATTCCCATAATGATTGGCTTAGAAGTCCACTTACCAACCATTCAACCGAAGGCACATCCCGTTAAAACCTATCAAATCACCATTCAATCCCATCAAATCACCATCAAGTCCCATCAAAAGACCATGAATTCCCAATTCAATCCCATTAAATCATCATTTCTCTTGGTGATCTCCCCCAGTACCGGCTCCAAGGCATGATGAACGTCCACGAGATCGCCGCCGCCTCCAAGCGCAACGAATCGCTGCACTTCGGCGTGGCGGATTACAGCGCGTCGACCAAGAGTCGCACCACGAACATCGGAGGCCCCAACAAACTCTACGGGGTGCTCACCGACAAGGCCCTGCGGCTGTTACGAGCAAGTTGGTGGATGAGTTTTTCAATGGGAAAATGGGAATAGGGAATAATCACGATATGTATACGTATGTATGTATATATTATTATGCATTTATATGTTCATGGAGTGAAGCTAGCAAATCGTGTTTTTGTTCCTTCGGCTTTCAATAAGAACCCCTTTGTTGGTTTTTGTGTGTGTGTGTGTGTGGTTGGGTTAGTAACTTGGGCCTAAGGCCTAAATCCCAATAATTTTAATACCATTCACGTTTGGGGAGACACTTGCTGTTTGCAATCCTTTTTTGGAAGATAGCTACTCGTAGGTAGTTAGAGAAGAAGAATGTCACCTCACCAAGAAACACCTGCTTGAAGGGAGATGGATGGATTGAACACGAACCGTTTTGTTCAATGATGAGTACTTGGGTAACATTTCAATATATGTATATTGGGTTGCACATATTGTGTATACATGTATATATATATTTATTTATTTATTTACTTATTTACTTATATATATAATATGCACAGTATGCAACCGAGCTACTGTGCCGCGGGGTGCTGATGTACAAGGCCAACACGCAAAAGACAATGCTGCTGTGAACCGGACCCAAAACAATCAGGGCGTTTACGACGTATCGCTTCGATTAGGGGAGTTGAGCTCGAAGAAAATCAAGAAACTCTGGGAGCTGGGAAGCCGAAAAAAACCCTGCCACAAGCTTCTTTTGTATCCACACAATGCTGTTTTAAACTTCAGATCTTGCCAGATCGCAAAGAAAGACAAACAACCTGGGCTCTTGCAAATCACCAGATCTTTTGTTTGCATAAACCAGCCATCGCCCAAAAATCATCAAACAAATCGACAACGAACATAAAAGGCTGAACCCAATACGAGTAACCCGCATGGTTAAGCGGGTTTCACTGAAGGTCCTTGTGGAGGGCGCAGTCCCAAAAAAGATGACGTAAATCTTGACAAATATCGTTCCCAACGGAAAGACATGCGAGAAATGAAAGAAGACCCAACCCAACAAAGCGCTACCCATGCTACCCTCCGGCAATTTCACATACCTATGGAACTGGATAATTTATAGACCGTTTGCCTATTAAAAAATCGCGATTTTCCATAGCTGTGTTCCTCTGAAATGCCATTTAGTTCGATCATTTTCCCAGCTGTAAACCTCCATTTATGGAAGATTTTTGAAAAACGTGCAAAATTTGTTTGATTACCAGAGGGTCAACCCTCCATGCTTGACCTCGCGAGGATGGCGACAAGCCTCGCGACTTCGTCTGGGGTGACCCCTGGCACTACGCCATGTCCCGCATCGTGGTGGCTGCACGGGCCAACGGCCTGCGACCTGTTGACGGTGCCTAGGGCCGATGGGTTTCTAGAACCAAAAATCGTGGGGAAAAAGGGGGGGAAAAGATCCCCTGAGGAATTTCCTTTATAAAAATGATCTACAAGAGGATGTTTCAATCATTTTGTTCGCGATTTTTTTGGGGCTTCTGATTTGCGAATGATTATTCATTGTTAGGCGATCGTTGAATGAGTTTCTTGAACTGGAGATTTGGGACATCTTTCATCAGCTGAGTTCTCCTGGGTGCGGTTGAGGCTGTAATCCTTATCGCGCCTCAGAAAGAGAATGGACCCCCCCGATTTCATGCGAATTCCAAGTCTGGAAGATGAGGTTCTAGACCTGGGTTCCATGTTAGTTTCCAGAGGGATAAGATTCATAGTGATTTTTATTGCAATGAAAGCTGAAGACTTCACGACATTTCCTGAATTTGGCAGCAAAAATTATGCGAGCGGAGTAATTTTGTGATTTTCAGCAGCAAACACGAGGGTTCCAGAGTTTCAACGTGAAGGACTCAGGGCGAATTGCTTGGCGTCCAAATTCTTGGGTTATCCCACTGCGGCTTAACATGTGAGGGTCATGGTGGCAACTGATTCTGCAATCCATTTGGGGGATAACTAAAGTCATATCTTACAGATCTTACAGCTTTCAGTCAGATGTACTCGGAAGGGTTTGACATCTTGAGATTGCCAGGACTAGGGGCTTAGAGGCGTAGATCCCGTACCTTTCAGAGCTTTTTATGATTACTTGGGGCCGATGCTCCAAATATGACAGGGGCATGATTGTCCCTGCTTGTGAACACGAGCCCAGAAAAATGAGGATGCCGACTTTGTAACTGCTTCGTAGGTGGCTGAGGCTTATATCCGCTTAAAACATCTCAAAACTGAACATGAACTTGGAACTGCCCAAGTTCACCACCCATTTTTCCATATTTTTCCGCTCTTTCGGCTGACCTGCCCTTTTTGTTCCCGAAAAATCCAGGGGCTCCTCCAGGCCCCTTCGGCGACATCGCGGACCCCGACGGCTACCGCGCCCAGTGCAATCGGGGTGCTGCCTTGGGGATGGAGGGGAAGTGGGCCATCCATCCCAGCCAGGCCAGGATGGCTAGGTTTTAGTGCTGAACCGGTGGCCAAGTGGGATGATCCTCCCAGTTAAAAAGACCAGTTTAAACTGGGGATTGGATGGAAAATGATGGAAAACAACTTAAAGGTGATCCGGAAAGGCTCATCATTGTTGCTGAATTTTGGGATTGAGTACAGTAGCCCAAAAAATAGAGCTGCAAGACCTTTAGTACATACACGTCGTAGTACTGCGGGTGATTTCACAATAGTTGCTGATCACATTACACATTGATGAAAATAAAGACATGATGTTTTGAAGCATATGGATGCATATGGCTCAAAACATGACCAAATGAAACTGTGGTTTTAAGATGTTTACTGGAACTTACACAAGCGCTTGATGCTTCTCTAATAAGGTCCTATTAACTTGCACACACACACACATGATGTCATGCTAACAGCATTCATGTTAACTTGCCCATGCACCTGATGCTACGCTGCAGTTGGGGTGGGGTTGGGTGGGATGTCAACATTCATGTCATATATAATGTATATTATATATATGATATTATATATATGATATACAATATAACTTACGGCTATTACGCACTTTATGCCAGATGAGCATTCATTGTGACTTGCACACACGCTTGATGTCATACTGGTCAACGTTAATGCTCGCTTGCACACGTGCTTGATGTAACACGTTCAAATGAAAGGCCCGGGGAAGAAAGAGAAGTGCGAAGAAGCAGACGCAAAAACGTGGAACCACACAAGAGTTCTGAAAAGCGCACTTCATAAATCCATGGTGTTTTCTGTTGATTTTTTGCCACTTCCATCCCTAACTTGGGTACAGTAATCTCCGGGTGTCCAGACTTTACACAATCGGTACCCGGGTAAATTATCACGACCTCACGTCGCGACCAAACCCTGGAATCATGGTTAGGGAATCATCCCCAAATGGCCGAGCTTTTCGGATTTGTGAGTTCTATAAATAAATAAATACATAAATAAATAAATAAATATATATATATAATAATATAATACAATATAATATAATATAATACAATATAATATATATATAATCTAATATAATATAACATAATATAATACAATATAATATAACTTAATATAATATAATATAATATAATATAAGAAAAATAATATAATATAAGAACAATAATATAATATAATATAGTATAGTATAATATAAGAAAAAAATAATATAATCTACGAAACAAAATAATATAATACAATACAATATAATATAATATAAGGAAAACATATAAGAAAAAATAATATAACATAGTATAATATAGTATAATATAGTATAATATAATATAATATAATATAATATAATATAAATAATATAATAAAATATAAATACAATATATATATATGTGATATCCCATCACATTGCAATTGAAATCCCTATGGTCATTATTGTTGTTGCTTCATGGTGAACATCTTCCGCCAGGTGGCAATCGCCAACGAGGTCTTCAGCCCTGGTGAGGCGGAGGTGACCCAAGCCCGACGTGCCTCGGCCACTGGTGCTTTAGCAACCGGGTGATTCAATGGTGGGTCACATAGCTATGGAAAATGGGACCATTTATATTTATAGATGGCCATGGATCAATACCTTATGTACCATTTTTAGTGGGATGAACATCCATTTACCAGCTATCTTGATGTTCACCAGGGGTACAAGGTTTTGACACACTGCCAGATGATTTGCCTATTAGAAGTGATGATCTTCCATAACTATGTTGAATTATCGGGGGGTTATTTCACATAACGATGGAACATCAAACGTAGCAATGGGCAATCCTCATTGAGTTCGATGATTTTCCCAGCTATAAACCTCCGCTTGTGGCTTTTGGGTGCGTTTTCGATTGCCAGGTTTGATAAAATCACCATTATTCATAGGTTGAAGGCGATGGAGAGAGAATATTATAGGTACATGATCTTTAAATATCTATAAATGGACTATGGTTTCGCTATGTCAAGTTACTAGTGAAGTTCAAGCCACCTTGTTCAACTATTTCAATACATCTACTGGTCATAACCGCAAGCTCAACAGAGTCCTGGATCATCCGAAAGTGAATTCCGAATTTCCAGCCTGGCCACCTGATCTTGAAGTTCCTTTCTTGCAACGTGCCAAGTTGATCAGAAACGCAGTCAGAACATTCCCTCTCGAATAGTTTTTTGGCATCGCAATGTATAGAAGTGTTGGGAATACGAAATTCTGATTTCCTACACACCCAAACGCTGGGACTAAATGCGAAAGTGCGAAAATTCCAGTGGTTAGGAGGGAGTGCTTGGGAGCCTATGGCTGCCACAAAGGGCACCAACGATCCGAAGACGTGGATGTTCCCTGAGCTAACTGGTTCAAAATGTTGGTTATCAAGTTGTCAAGTTGTCGGAAACTCCCTTTCATCATGGTGATTAAGAGGATGGGTGTATCTTCCAAGCGAGAACCTCTGCGCGATAGGCATTTCAGGGAGATCGCAGAGTTATACCCTTTACACGACCATTGAGACAAAGCACCCTTATTCTTAGGAAAACCGGATATGATATACTGCACATGGCGGTCTATTTTAAGCATATCCCATGTTTTCCCATTTCCAAGCGGGTTTTCGTGAACCTGGGACAGGTGTCCCATGGCACCATATGGCACCCATGGTCCCATCATGTCCCATCCCAGGTGTGTTGGAGGCTATGGAGAAAGCTCAGAGAGAGGGCTTGGGCGCCGTGTCGTTGGATGGCAAGCTGGTGGACATCGCTTCCATCAAGCAGGCAGACCCTGGCGGACCTCGGTCTGCGAACTGGAAAATTGCCATGAACGACAGTATAAATCATCGAACTATATCAATGGGCCCTGGTTTTCATGGCCTAAAGTTCCCAGAGGGTAATATTCTCAACTCGGAGATTGGAGGAGCTTAAGGGGCCAGGGATGCTGAAGTGTGAGTCCCCCGTAGCAAATGGCTTTGTCTTAAAACAGGGTGCCCAGAAATCCATCATTTTCTCATATTATCAAAAGGCCATAATTGATCATAATTGGGGATATAGCCAACTGGGAAGCCGAGCGAAGTTGGGCATGTTGGAGCCAAGACCAGCCGGAGGCTGAAGCGATTGTGAAGAAGGCGGAAGCGATTGCAGCCATGTGAGGCACCAGCCAACCTGGCAGGACCCCAGCATGCTGCTGGAGGTGGTATGACTGGTGAATGCCAATTCTTCCCTGGCGGAGTGTATTCGCCAGTGTCGTGAGATTTTCATAGTTTTTCGTTCTATTTTAGGTCGCCAACGGCTGACGACAGCTAAATTTAAAGGGCAGATTGGCCCGTGCCGTTTCTTCTTGACTCTGTTCCAACGAAACTTGAGGCGAAAAAAAAGGTGCTTTTTTCGAGAATCATCCCGCTTGATACTGCGAATTGGGGAAGCTGACCACATCTTACCACTGGTGAGCTACGCTTAGTTTCTCCAATTCTGCATGAAACCCCAGAAAGTGAAAGTGGGGATTTATGATTTATGATCAACATTCATCAAATTAAGTGATTTTAGCCACCAACAATTGCCCATTCCGATTCGTGGCATGATCCTTTTTGCGTTGCTGCTTTTGTTGCTGGCCAGGTGAGACCGAAGTGATTCAGGTCAGGAGCTGCGGCTGATCAGCGGTGGTGGGCAAAGTATGGGGACCGAAGAACGACCTCACCATGGCGACAACTATGGCACTGAGTTTTGTTCCAAAAAGTGGCGATTTTTCCCCAGAATTATCACATCATTTGCCCAGCCGATGTGGAGAAATTCATTGGGCTTTCCATGGAAAACAGAGTGTGTTGTGCAGGCTTCACTTTTCCATAATGATTAGTTGGAGGCTTCAAAGGTTTTCCTGGTTCCAACTAGCAACAGGCCACTCACCTTCCCTTAGGACGATACTGGGCTCGCTTAGTGCTTCACATTCAGATACTCTTGATATGGGAACATTGATGCAAATGGCCTACTTTAGCACTCATGTGTGGCCAAGTCAATCCCATTTTTTTCTTGACATACTCGTACCCGTGCTCACAGGCTGACTCTGCAAAAGTGCTTGCAGACAGCGGACGCCCTGGTGTGAGTTCAAGGTCCAAGGAGTCTCCAAGGTAGCTGCAGAATCTTGATGAACTGCCAATAGTTGGATCATTTCACAATATTTCAGAGTCATTGAGTGTTGCCTAAAATCGGGGCACCAATCGGACTCCCACACCTTGGTTTTCCTCTAAATCATGACCCATCAGTTGGATGATTTCAGAGGTTTCCCTCCGATCTGAGGACATCAGCTCTTCAATGTGCTGCTGCAAGACCTTCCACCTGGCGGGAAGGTGCGGGGTCGGGCGCAGGGAATGCCAGTAACCTCAAAGGGGATTCCAGGGGCACGTGTTTTCCGAGTTTCCCACGAATCCATTGAACTAGTTCTTTCCCATAGCTGTATTTTCACTGAATGTGCCCCATGGCTGCCATAGCTCATCATAGTTCTCCATACTTGCCCATGTTTTGCAATTAGTTTCCATTGTGTTCTTCAAATTTATATAGTTTTTTTTTTTTTTTTTGGGGTGTCCCCTTATATATATATATTTCCCAACGTTGTCCAACATTTTTCACCTCAAAACCATGGGATAGCAGTGGCTTCGTGGTACAAACGGCTCACATCGAAAGCAACTTGGAGGCCTCATCGAGCCCCGTTGCTCCCGGCCACTACTTGCTCAGACTGGCCGGTGAAGAGGCCGGGGGCCTGGGATAGTAGGAAGGCAGATCCTACTGTTTTGGGATGGCTTAAGCCACCCATAAACAATGGTGAGTTTGGGGATGGTTTATTATTGGGTTTGCCATATTAGGTAACAGTGTAGGGATATGTCATTTTCCTATACTTTTCCATGTATGTTTGTACTATCCGGTCACTTAACTTAGCTATGGCAGCTATGGAAGCCATGGCCCATTTAGATTTTTACCCATCAAAACTTGTGGTTTTCATTGTTCTATTAAATTACCAAAGGGTAGGTTAAAATGTAGGGGCAATCACGTTTCTATCTTCTTCTATCTTTTGGGGCTTACGCGGTCCGTATGTACTGGGATAGGATATGACAGGAAGGGAGGCTACAGGGCTCTAGCTACAAGTGATTGGCGCTAAGCCAAGAATTCACCGCATGTTTTTGGGGGTTCCAGCCCTGTTGGGAACTTGCAGAGCTCGCAGCACTGTGACAGTTGAGGATGTTTCCCTACGAGGTGGCCGTTGTGGCCATTTTGAGGCTGAACAATCTGAACAGAACCGCAGCTCTGATCAGCATCTCGTAGTCACCGAATTCACAGCGACAGATGCGACAGGTTTGTGGTGTGGAAGTGCTGGGTTGGGAGCCCTGGGATGGTCCGGGATGGTCTGGGTGTTCAAAGGCTACTTACTCTGCAAGCTGGTTGCCTCTCAGTTGTAAATGGTTGAAAAATATGTCTTAATATGTCTTAATAGCTAATAATGCTAATAGCTCTGTATCCGTACCTGTGTCCTGCAAAGCACAGATTTAATCCACTGCGATTCATTTCAGACACGACAGTGCACGGGTTCTCACTGCACGCTGCGTGTACCCAAGTAAGTTGACATTTTGCCGTGCTTCCGCCAGTTGTTTCATTTTGATTCATATTGTTTCTTGTCTTTTTTTTGACACAGGGAAGTTGGCAACCATGCTGTTGCAAGGGCTCTCGGCTCAGATTGCAAAGATTTAGATCTGTAATCCGCTCGCTTAATATTTCTTGCCCACAAACATGGCCGTCTCCCTCGCTGTCTTTGGAATCTTCGCAGTGGTTCCAGCTGCAGCTGCGACCTGCAGCGGCAATGATGTCAACATTTGGTCGACGAAAGGCTCTGCAGCCTTCTCGGACGATATGGAGTCTGGTCTAGATAAGCAAACTTGTTCAAACTATTGCGTGCTATTGCTAACCCGTTTTTCTCTTCATACATGATCATACAGGGTGAACTGTCAAGCAAATTCAATTCAATCCTGAGCACCAACGCACACACACAGAGCTTCAAGATATTGAACATGTTCTAAATTTGGCAGCAAGAGTGGCCTGCAACGTGAGGAGACATGTGGACGCCAATGTGCTTTGTCGTCAACCGAATGTGCAAGTGAATGTGTCCAGAAAAGGGAGGGTTACACTTCCTCTTGCGCAAGCTGCTTCGGTGGTGTGTTCGGGTGCACCCGAGAGCACTGCAAACTGAAGTGCATCAGTGACTCGGTCACCGATTCGACAAGTTTGATACGTTTGAACTTTTGAGCAATTGAGCTGTCAGCCCTAAGGGACACACCACACTCATCAACCTGAGCAGTTGACATTGTCCTTTTTTTCACGTGCGTTGATCAAGAGCTGATCACTGTTTGGCTGCATGCTTACAAAGGCGTACTTAGCATACACACCGATGCCTCAACATGTAGCTTTGATTCACAGATATGGATCTTGGACTGCATGCACCAGAATGTACGGCACCAGAGGTCTGAAGGTTTGGACGTGCAACCTTGAGGTGGGCAGACTCCAGCATGCAAACAGTGCGTGAAGGATGCAGGCTGCGCCGCCAGCTTCAGCACTTGCAGTGGCTTCACCCCACCCAGCACTGCGTCTGTGGCTACCAGGGCTACCAACTGCACTGGTGCTGCAGATCCACAGGCGAACGTTTGCTACGAGGGTTCAGCCAAGGAGCTGGCGCAGCTGGGCCCAATTTGGCGAATACCGTGAATCATGGATCTTCACATCTCTTCACACTCTAGAATGACTAGAATGTAGCAGGCATGCGCAGGAGCTAGACGAAAAACATTAAAAACAAATGAAATGAATGGGAATGACACAAGACGAGAGTGAAAACAAATTTCCATCATTGGGGTGACGCACTACTGTCTCACGCGCTTACTTTCTCATCATGGTTCTGCATTTTTTCTGGCATATGTTTTTGCTAAGAACTCACAAATTATATTCTCCCAAAGCGTAATGAGTCTAAAAGCAAGCCCAGTGACAAAGCCACAAAGGTGAATGATAAGGCCCATCATGAATCCTCGATGTATTCATTTCTTCCACAACTATGCATTGACAATACACAACCTGTCAGCACCTGTTGTTTTTTAAAGCAAAGAAGTCACCTCATGATTGAAAAGCAAAGCCAGTCACAGTGCCACAAAAGTGGATGATGAGACCCGCCATGTATCCCTCAATAGCTTTATTTCTTCCATTTCTTTGCATATTTTGCATTGACGAGACCCTGTCGTTTTTCAAAAAATAAGTCATCACATGATATCGCCATAATAGAGGATGATAAAACCCACTTCAGCTGGCCGTGTCGCGAAGGTCCTCCCACATGCAACTTTTTTAAAGAAAAATCAAACACGTTTTAATTCTCTTTTTTAAAGAAAACATCTGCAACACCCTTTCCTTGGAAAAACGCAGGGAATCCGCGAAGGGAACTGGAAGGGAACTGGGAAGGCAACTGGAAGGGAACTGGGAAAGGGAAAGGGAACTGGAAAAACACAGCACTTCATTCACGCTGAAGAAAAGGAACTGGAAAAACACAGCATTTTCAATCACGCCCGGGAAAGGGAACTGGAAAAGGGAACTGGAAAAGGGAACTGGAAGCCAGAGCATTTTGAACGACGCCCGGGAAAGGGAATTGGAGAAACACAGCATTTTCAATCACGCCCAAGAAAGGGAGTTGGAAAAACCCAGGAATTGCAATCATGCCTAAGGAACTGAGTTGGAAAAGCACAGCAGTTGCAATCACGCCTAAGGAAAGGAAATGGAAGAAGGCCGGAAGTGAACCAGCAAAGCGCGCGTAACGACAAAACAGAAAAAGCAAATTACAAACTAGGAAAAATAACCCTTCACATTCTCTGCGCTCCTGCTGACCACCGCTCCCCGTACTGTAGATGGACGAATTATTCAAAAACCCTTGTAATCCAATAACCCCCCGCACCCCCAATTACAATGTTGTCTTTTTGGTTTGGTTCGCTTCTTCGAATGGACGAAATAAATAAAACCCTAAGATCAGGAACAAAGATACGAAACCATAACTTATCACGAAAGGTAGCTCCAGAGGGGCTACCTTGAGTTTTACTTTACGAAGTAAAGGGGAGGGCGGCCAGCCCCGTTACCTGATTCTTCAGGAGATTGCTAGTCATTTTAGTACCCCCCCCCTCCACACCTCCCACGCACCCTAAGAGCAGACTCAAAACATTGTAATTTACAGTATTTTTGTTCTTTTCGGATCAAGAAACCACATTTTGCTACATGGTGAAACCTCCGTAAATACCAGTGTTTTTGCTAGGTGCTGGCCAAAAAACACTGTAAATACCGTGCTTTTTACTACCAGAGGCAAAAAACATCGTAAATACCGTGGTTTTGGGCTTCCGACCCGCCAAAAACATCGGTATTTACGGTGTTTTTTGCTCCGAGAGTTGCAAAAACACGCGAAAACACCACCGATTTGACGATTTTCGGCCACTACGGAACCGAGCAAAAACGCTGCAGGGGTAACACCAACACCAACAACAACAACACCAACAGCAACAGCAACAACAACAACGACGACGACGACAACAACAACAACAACAACACCAACACACAACGCACAATGCACAACGCACAACGCACAATGCACAATGCACAACGCACAACGCACAACGCACAACGCACAACGCACAACACACAAAACACACAACACACACACACACAACACACACAACACACACACAACACACACAACAACACACAACAACACACAACAACACACACACACAACCACACACACAACACACACACACAACACAACAACAACAACAACAACAACACACAACAACACACCACAACACACAACAACACACAACAACACACGCAACAACAACAACGCAACAACGCAACAACAACAACAACACACAACAACACACAACAACACACACAACAACACACAACAACACACAACAACACACCAACACACCACAACACACACAACAACACACAACAACACACAACAACACACAACAACACACAACAACACACAACAACACACACAACACACCACAACACACCACAACACACAACAACACACAACAACACACAACAACACACAACAACACACAACAACACACAACAACACACAACAACACACAACAACACACAACAACACACAACAACACACAACACACACACAACAACACACAACAACACACAACAACACACAACAACACACAACAACACACAACAACACACAACAACACACAACAACACACAACAACACACAACAACCACAACAACAACAACAAACAACAACAACAACAACAACACCATCAACAGCAGCAGCAGCAGCAACAACAGCAACAACAACAGCAACAACAACAACAACAACAACACGAACACGAACAATACCAACACCAACAACACGACCAACAACACCAACACCACCAACAAACCCAACCACACCAACAACACTAACAACACTAACAACACTAACAACACCAGAAACACTACCACCATCAACAACACCAACAACACCAATACCAACAACACCAACAACACCAACACCACCAGCACCACCACCACCAACACCACAACCACCACCAACCCCAACCACATCGCCGAAGCCTTTCAGTCGCTTTTACCAGACTCCCCTTCATATTTTTGGAAAGAAAATGGCCGCGTCGCTTTTACCAGACTCCACTTTATGTATTTTTCCCTCCCCTCTCCCCTTCATTTTTTCTTCGGTTCCTTTCTTGCTTACCTACCTTTCGTGTTCCCCCTCTCAAGTGTTGAAATTTTGGGGGACAAGGGGTAGCCTACAAGTCATGGATGTGGGGTTTGAATAATTTGTCCATCTACTGTAGGATGGTGTGTGAAATTAATGACAAGGATTAGAAGAACAAAGATGTGAGACATGCCTGGTTGACAAGACACTCGCTCTCGGGGCTTGTGGTCGGCACATGTCGATTCGACTCGACACCTGTGATTTGTTTTGTGTGACACCAGGTTCAAAGAGACCGTCCATGTGAAGGTCGAGTCTTTCAAGAATGGACAGGGCGTCATGGATCTCAATGGGTCTGGTGCTAAAAGGATCAATTGCCTCGGCAAGCAATTCACCAAACATGGGCAAGAGATCACCACAGATCTCAGTGACTGCAGCCCTGCTTTGCTGAAATTGTCGGATGTAAAGTACTGCTCCAATCAGGACATGGTGATGGTGACTGCTAGTGTTGCAGGATTTTCTGAACATCTTTCATTGAGCAAAGTGGCTTGCGAGGCAGAGATGATTGTATGAAATCAAGTCCAGCCGTTAGCCACAAAACCGCACGTGGTGTAGTGAGACAGTTTTGAATCTGTCATTTGCTCAGCTAAACCCTGAGCCCTGAGCATTTTTGAGCAAATCGTTGATCCTTGATCCGCTTTTAGTCACTAAAGTCCAAAGCTGCCATCGATGCAGTTGGTATCATAGCAGCAGTGCAGAAAAAGGCAGATTCTCATCCCTGCTGCTTCTACTTGCTACTGCACGTACGCGCACACACACACACATGTATACACACCTATATATTATGTGTTTGATACATAATATGTATACATATTTTGGCCAGCGGAGGGGAAAAACACGCTAGCGTCATTGACGCTTTTTGCTTTCTCACGTGTTAGCATATCTGGGGTGATCGAGGCAATAGAGTTCTATCTTCTTGCGTTTTGATCCAGTTATTTGCTTTAAGTTTCACATGCAACTTGCAATATGCTCTTGATGCTACGCTCTTAACTTTTACTTGTAATACGGTCTTGATGCTGCGCTTTTAACTTTTAATACTTTTAACTTTCACATGCAACTTGCAAAGCGCTCTTGATGCTACGCTCTTCACCTTCACATGCAACTTATAACTTGCAACATGCTCTTGAAGTGCTGACGGAAGTGTCCATTCTGATCCCTTATAAAGCTTTTGCCCAAACGCAAAGTCAATGTAAATTCACAAGCGAAATCAAACAAACACCCCAAATTGGGTGTTCAAAATCACATGAAAATTTCTTGAGCAAATTGCTACATAGCGCTGTGGTGATATATATATACTGCAAAAACGCTCAGTTCGTGAGCGCAAAAAATCCTGGGCGGGATATTTTTTAATGGAGGGCTATTTTTTGGTGGACTTTTTTTTGGGTTTTCCAGCCTGGCTTTGTGGCTTTTATGGCTTCTGTGGCTTTTGTGGGTTTGTGGCTTTTGCTTTACCTTGCTTTTCCTATCTATTTATCTATCTAATCTATCTAATCTATCCAGTCTAACCTAATCTAATCTAATCTAATCTTATTTTACCGAATCGCATCTTATAATTTCTTATATATCTAATCTAGTCCGACCTAATCTAATCTAGCCTAATCTCATCTTATCGTATATATCTTATCTAATCTTATCTTACATATCTAATCTATTTAATCTATCTAAACTATCTATCTATCTAATCTCATCTATTGATCTAATCTATCTATCCAATCTCATCTCATCTAATCTAAATCTAAATCTCATCAAAATCTAACTAATCTAATCTAATCTAACCTAACCTAATCTAATCTAATTTAATCTAATCTAATCTAATCTAGTCTATATAGAGAATCTCCGTTGCATCAGGATTCCTTGAGAGTATATTTGCCCCCCCCCGCGGCATGGTGAGCAAGTTCTTTGGCAGCCAAGAAGAGAAAGAAAGAAAAGACCGCTGGGTTGGCGAGAAACAGCGATATTCTCATGATTCTCTCTTATGTCTAATGCCTTTTGCTTGAAATTCTCCTTGAATGATCATTACAGTGCCGCTTAGCCAGTAGCACAGTGTTTGTTGGCAGATGTTGGCAGCGTTCCTATTTTGTCTTTTTGGATCTCAGCTTTTGTTGGTAGGTTTTGTAAGACCCATCCTCCAGACCCAGAAACTGCAGTTCACAGATCTCCCAGGTACGCAGCCTTGGCAGCTCGTTTTGGGTTCCCCCTGGGCTCAAGAAGGGTTGGGGTGCCTCAAAGGGCCCGGGGGCGGGTGGATCGGAACTTCTTGAGCCCTGAGTCCTGAGTGACTGTAAGGATCCTTAGCTCAAACTGAAGCTTCCTAGCTGTGGGGCAACCAGCGGCCGCAACATTTGATTAGTTGATGCTGCATTGGTTTCACGGTGACGTTCCACCACTTTGCTGAGAACTATAGGGCCTTATAGGGAATGACACTACCTGTCCAAAAGAAATTTGCAGCAGATTATGCCCTTTGTTAGGTCAACAAATCCGAGCATCAGAGATTTGTAGGTGTTTTCCTTGAACTTGAGGGTTTCCAAAGCTCTCTGGTTCAAGAAAAGGCTGCCCTCCAAGAATACAATCAGGCCATGGCCAATCCACCGTACCCTCTGAAACATGGCGATGCAATGGAAAATCATCCGTTCACAGATGATTTTCCAATCAAAATGCCCATTGATCACGGTTTCCCAGTGCCATGTTTGATGACCGGAGGGCATCCCAGCCAGCTGGTTTGGACTCCACTGTGTGCGACAAGAACTGCATGATTTTTCCCATATCCATATCCCCCATGTATAGCTCACTATAAAGTGGACATCCTTTGCGCTTATAAAGTGGGTTTCCGGTCGCCACTTTATATACCGACAATGGGGGATAAAGCCGTGTTTTGCGCGAGAAACATGCCCTTGGACCTGGAAGATGACTTTATAGCAACGTTGGCTTTCCAGTTTATACCCGGCTGGTTCCCCACAAGGAAACGACTCAATATATGCGGCAATGCATTTTATAGACCGTTGGTTCCCTTCAAAGAATGGCCATAATATGTCACACCATCCACTTTATAGAAACATGTCTCCCCAATGATTTCGGGCCAATATCTTTCTGTTGGGGCTGTATACATGGCAAAGCACTTTATAGAGTGAAACTTGCCCTTTAAGAAGAAGAATTTGTGCTGCATCCAGGGCACTTTATAGAAAGAAAATTGCGGCAGAGCATTTTATAGAGTCATGAGATACATCACCCAAATCACTTTATAGAGCTGCCCAGGACCCCATTCACCCTGAGGACCCCTTTCAAGGGAAATCTTCTTCTCTATAAAGTGGCCAGTCCAGGTAAAACCCCTGAAAAAACAGAATCTATGTTGGACTGGCCACTTTATACCCCCTCCCCCAACAGAGAATGCCTCTATAAAGTGGCCAGTCCAGGTAAAACCCCTGAAAAAACAGAATCTATGTTGGACTGGCCACTTTATACCCCCTCCCCCAACAGAGAATGCCTCTATAAAGTGGCCAGTCCAGGTAAAACCCCTGAAAAAACAGAATCTATGTTGGACTGGCCACTTTATACCCCCTCCCCCAACAGAGAATGCTTCTATAAAGTGGCCAGACCAGGTAAAACCACTGAAAAAACACATTTTTACCTGGAATGGCCATTTTATACCCCCTCCCCCAACAGAGAATGTCTCTTTGAAGTGGCCAGTCCAGGTAAAACCCCTGAAAAGACAGAATCTATGTTGGACTGGCCACTTTATACCCCCTCCCCCAACAGAGAATGCCTCTATAAAGTGGCCAGTCCAGGTAAAACCCCTGAAAAAACACATTTTTACCTGGAATGGCCACTTTATACCCCAGCCAGTGGGCTCCAGGACTTTGACCCGGAAACGGAAGGACTGACAACAAGGTAAAGGGGGAAAACTACAACGGAGAGGTACAACGGGAAGGCTACCACAAGAAAATGAGACATGTCACGTTTATATACGTTTATTGTTTTCAATGTGTCATATAGATTGGCGATGATTGGTATATTGAATATGTTGTAGATGTATTTTGGAACATATGTATACCTATGATTCACACATCAATATAAATATATATAAATCATAAACACATGCCAAACCAAAAACTTTTAGCTGAGTATTGTATTCCCAATCTGTTGGCAAATGTCCAGCCGATTCACCATGCGTGACCCAACAAGATTCAAACTATGGATTGTTTACTTTTGAAAAAAAAATACTGGGTGAATCTACGTATATCTATGACGACAATCTCCCAAAATCATCCTAAAAATCTATGGACATCTATGGACCAAAACCACGGCCACATGCCCATCCTCTATAAAATGGTTTGCAAGAAAGTTCAGCTCTATAAAGTGGTTTGATCACGTCATTTCTGGCAGCCCCACCCTCTGTATAAACTGGCCGGTCCATGCCCATCCTCTATAAAATTGTTTGCAAGAACCAGTAAAAAAATTTTTCGAAAGTAAACAATCCATAGTTTGAATCTTGTTGGGTCACGCATGGTGAATCGGCTGGACATTTGCCAACAGATTGGGAATACAATACTCAGCTAAAAGTTTTTGGTTTGGCATGTGTTTATGATTTATATATATTTAAATTGATGTGTGAATCATAGGTATACATATGTTCCAAATACATCTACAACATATTCAATATACCAATCATCGCCAATCTATATGACACATTGAAAACAATAAACGTATATAAACGTGACATGTCTCATTTTCTTGTGGTAGCCTTCCCGTTGTACCTCTCCGTTGTAGTTTTCCCCCTTTACCTTGTTGTCAGCCCTTCCGTTTCCGGGTCAAAGTCCTGGAGCCCACTGGCTGGGGTATAAAGTGGCCATTCCAGGTAAAAATGTGTTTTTTCAGGGGTTTTACCTGGACTGGCCACTTTATAGAGGCATTCTCTGTTGGGGGAGGGGGTATAAAGTGGCCAGTCCAACATAGATTCTGTTTTTTCAGGGGGTTTTACCTGGACTGGCCACTTTATAGAGGCATTCTCTGTTGGGGGAGGGGGTATAAAGTGGCCAGTCCAACATAGATTCTGTTTTTTTCAGGGGTTTTACCTGGACTGGCCACTTTATAGAGGCATTCTCTGTTGGGGGAGGGGGTATAAAGTGGCCAAACATAGATTCTGTTTTTTCAGGGGTTTTACCTGGACTGGCCACTTTATAGAGGCATTCTCTGTTGGGGGAGGGGGTATAAAGTGGCCAGTCCAACATAGATTCTGTTTTTTCAGGGGTTTTACCTGGACTGGCCACTTTATAGAGGCATTCTCTGTTGGGGGAGGGGGTATAAAGTGGCCAGTCCAACATAGATTCTGTTTTTTCAGGGGTTTTACCTGGACTGGCCACTTTATAGAGGCATTCTCTGTTGGGGGAGGGGGTATAAAGTGGCCAGTCCAACATAGATTCTGTTTTTTCAGGGGTTTTACCTGGACTGGCCACTTTATAGAGAAGAAGTTTTCTTTTGAAAAATTCCTCAGGGTGAATGGGGTCCTGGGCGCGCCGCGCGCGCGCGCGCCAAAAAGGTGTCAAAATTGGAGCCATTTTGGCGCGCGCGGCGCGACCAGGACCCCTTTCACCCCAAGGACCCCTTTCAAAGGAAAGTGTGTTAGAGACATTCTCTGTTGGGGGAGGGTATAAAGTGGCCAGTCCAACATAGATTTGGTTTTACCATAGATTCTGTTAACGAGTTCGATATAGATATTTGTCTGGCTGTCGGTTTCGTTCGGTTTCGAAGTCATTCGAAGTCTTTTGGGTTCCCCATCGATGAGATCGATGATATTCCCCCAAGGTTTGAACGTGGCCCCTCAACTTTATAGACAATCATGTCGATGCTGCCATCGTCGCGATTAAGAAAATCATCGCTACTACAACGATCGTTGTTTAGCCGGAAATCCACATTATAGTGCCACTGTTCTGCACAAGTATTACTATCTGGATGTTCGGCATCTCACTTTATAGTCATGGGACATGTTCACAAGTACCCTCAAAAACCTGCATCGAGTTTTATGTTTTTACGCGGCCAGGCGACTTTATACAAACGTTGGATTTTGACTTTATAGACAAAACATGTTGGCTTTCCACTTTATAGACTCCAGACATGTGGCCATTCCAGTTTATACCAGGCTATTCTCTATAAAGTCGGCCGCAAAGCATCTAGCGGGCTATACATGGGGGATATATCCATATCTTAGGCAGGCATGCCCACATTTTGTATCTCTTTGTTCCTATCAGTAAGCAAAATCATGTGAAATCATCATAGAATCCCTGATTGAACTCCTACCTTTGACCCATACCCAGCTAGTCATTGCTTCATACCATCATCAGCCCCAGGCATGAAGCCTCCCTGGCTCACCTGGCAACTGTGCTGCGGCGACGAGCTGGAAGGAGTGGGTCTGGGCTGAAATGGCGAGGGAATCTGGTGAAAATCCCGGAAGGTGTGGGGTAAAAAGATGGAAACACCGTGATTTCCGGTGAATATGTTCGAAACCAACCCAATTAATTCCAATGATCTATCTATCTAGCTGGAACACTTTGCAAGGGGCAACCTAAAACCAGCCCACGTTTTGCTTTTTTCTTGGGTACATTTAGCAAGCAAACATGCCAACAGAGTCTAGTCCATCTATTATTTTCTGATTTGGGATGTCAACAGCAATGCCAGTTCCCTTGAACAGTTATATAGTGGCTTTGCTAAATCCATTTCTCGGTAGGTTCGAACCCCCCCCATTAAATAACACATCAACTCCCATGCTGGTTAACATCCACCATCTTCCCAATTTTGTAGGTTCCCAGTGTTTGGTGCTTGGAGGTTTGGAGGGCTGGAACTTGGTGGAACCTCCAATTTTTCTCCGTTGAACCACCCAGCTGGGCCCAGCTGGGTGCCCAGCGTCTTTCACCAGTTGGGGCTGCAGCTTCGTCTACGACACCCGGGATGAGCGGGGCGCTCGGTCCGGTCACCCGGCACGCTGCTGAAGCAACTTGCCAGACTTGGTTGAGCCGACTGGGTGAATGGTAGATTCATGCACCGTTAAGTTGCGATACTTTGAGCACATGTTGTAAGATGATGATAGTTTGTCCTGTCCTGGTCGGTGTTTTTTTGGTGTGTGTGCGTGTGTTTACTTTCTCGGTGCTGCGGAACAATGAATTATCTCAGATGAGCTCTGCAGTAGGCTCCCCAGAATTCTTGAACACTTTTGGCGGACAGCACTTCAGGACTGGTGGCAACATTGAATTTTTGGGACGCCCCCGTTAATCAACTGGGCTATTGTGAATCCAGGGTGAATAAAGTTGTTGGGTTGGGATGTGGATTGTCTTCCCAATGTCTTTGTGTCCGGCCTTCGCCCACTGCCACAATGGTGCCCCGATGGATCCCTGTCACTGTTGTGAGCTCGGACCTGTACCTGTAGGAACACATTCCTGTGACAGAAGGTGAACATCTTTGCGTGCTCCATCTTTGTTCGTTCCTAGGCCCCGCAGCAAGCTGCAGTTGTCATGTCAGGAGTCATGAGCATGGATGAGCATCACACCGTTGTCAGTTGTCCAACCTTCAACGCCACCAAACAGCTCAACAATTTTTCATCAAAATTCATCAACTATTTTCCGGATATCCGCGGCCATGCCATGCCGGGCCGTGGCAAGGCCACGGCGAAGCCCAAGGGCGTCCCGTGCCGGCGACACAGCCGGCCCCCCGGCTGCGTGGTGCGCGCCGCCGCGGCCGTGCGGATCCAGGCCTTCTACCGGGGACGCCTGGGACGGCAGCTGGCCACGCGGAGGCGGCAACGGATGGAGCAGGAGAAGTTGGAGGAGGAACAGCAGAAAAGGATGGAGCAGAAGAAACAACAGGTGGGGATAGGTGGAACTGAGGATGGTTGGGAGGTGAGGCTTTGAACATCTTTGAGCTGTTTCGAGTCAATTTGATAGTGTGCAGTTTCTTTTTTTGGTGAGTTGAGGGCATTTGGGAGGATTATCCTATCCCACTGGCTGGTTGGAACAGATTTTACCAGTTTAGAATGTTGTAGATGGGGTAAGTAGCCCCATGTAGCCCCAATAGTCCTCCATGTAATAATTGTTTGCAGCAAGTGGATTTTGCGCTTGAGTTTGGCACAAGTAGCTTTCATGATTTTTGATGTGATGCTGGCAGTGGCCCCAAGGCTTTGGAGGAGGCTGAACGTCAGAAAAAAATGCAGAAGGAGCCAGTTCTTTGCGGGGCGGGGTCACAGATATGGACGCTGTTTACATCCAATTCTGAGGTGTTCGGTTTCTACACACCCCAGACCCAGATGCTACAGTACGACCCTTGCCATCTGCTCAAGAAGATTTTAGCAATTTTTAGCCCCAAGACAATCGCCCAGAGGTTTTCTGGGTTAGAATATGTTCGACCCATATGGCCCACAGATCTTTGTGAAGCCCACAGTTTGAGTTCTGTAGCATGTTCCAGTTTCTTTCGGGTTGGATCTTAAGGCCTTAAGGCCATTTCATGTCTTCTATTAGAATTATTGCGCACACACACACAGATATATATATATATAGATAGATATAGATATAGATATAGAATGATATAGATATAGATATATATCTTTATCTGTAATATACACATCCAAGGGCGGCGTATTTGAGTCCAAATGGCACCACATTCCTAAGTTGTGGAAAAACATGAAGCACCTTCAATTTTTTGACAGGCACCCTTCGCCCCAACAACTCCGGACGCCCTCGCTGAACTTGGCAGGAGAATTTGCTGAAGGAGTTCCGGGAGCGAAAATGCACCCTGGAAGAGATGTGCCAAGGGCTGCCTTCCCACACTCGTGACTGGGAGGCGGGTAACAGCTGCTGGGAGGTGATGGGGCAACCAAAACATGCAAAAGCTGGGAAGTGGCCTTATCTCACCTTGACAAGGGGTTTGCCTCAGGCATTTTGTTGTGACCTTTTTCCGAGTTCCAGGAGAAACCCTTGATGCTTCTGGAGATGTTGGACGGAGTTGGCTGCTGCGAAGCCTGGCTGGGGCGTCACATGGATGGCAGATCGGCCAGAAAGGCCTACCTGGCACTGGCCAGGCCTCCGGGTGGGGAGGATGTGAAGAAACTGTTGGGTTGCCCATGGTTGCCCTATAGTTCAGAAGATGAAGAAAGATGAAGAAAAGCAGTGGAAACACTACAAAAGGTCAAGCTGTTCCTTAGATGCTTAAGACCTTACTGCGGGTGATGGTGGATAAATGGGGAAGAGTAGTTGCACATTGAACTCTTCGAGAAGGCGATGGAGAGAGAGTTGCACATAGGATTCTTTGAATTTTCGGCTGGTCAATTCAGGCCAAACAGCTCTGTCATCTCAGATTTGGAGATCTTTCCATACTACATACAGGCCATAAATAAAATACACTGAGTTCATGAGCGAGAGAGAGAGAGAGACAGAGAGATATATATATAATATATATATATATGTATGTGATATACATATTACATCGTCAGACAGGTTTCTCCGACTTGGCATTTGGCAAGCACAATTTTTCACCCCAGGTGATGGGAATCCCCACTGGACCAGGAAGTGGCACCCCGACAAATGGACGGTGCAAGGCGAGCGCTGTGTGGCCATTGCCACCGAGGTGGCGAAGCAGAATCTGGGCTGATGGGGGGGTTGGATGATCCCATGGATCCCATGGATCCCTAAATATCTGAGAGATACCCGGCCTGGTAAACGTTTACATAGCTAACTGGAAAATCACCATTTTTAATGGGAAAATCCACTATCAATGGCCATTTTCAATAGCTATGTTAGTTTACCAGAGGGTACCCATGCTATTCATAATGGCATTTCCACCAACACCTTTTAAAGTGGAACGGAGATACAAGTGAGAAACATCTTTTCCCACTTGCAGACTTGCAGGTGACTTTCTCAAGGAGGGTACACCAAACATGTTTTGTTTTCCATAGTATTCCCCAAGGAGAACCACATCATAGCACCTGTCCCATCTGCAACGTCTTCAAGGCTGGTCCGCGCCTATGAGCAGCTCTGCATCGACCTCCCCCGCGCTCCGGCGGACAACTGCGCTGCCGAAGACGACGACGAGACCCGCGAGTGCTGCGAGTTTGCCAGCTGGGTCGGGGTGTCTTTCCACGGGATGGAGGACCGATGTCCGATCTTGGGAAGGACATACTCTATTTTCAGGCAAAGAAGGAAAGATGTTCCCGGAAGATCGAAGATCGTGGAAGCATTGTGGAAGCCATTTTTGGTTTGTTTGAAAGTGGCAGAGGCTACAAAGGGCAATCTCCATGGGCAAGGTGATGATTTTGGAACTCCCAAAATTCTGAGACAGCCCCATTTGCAAACCTGATGTAGGAGTCCCAAGGGGTTTGGATTCGAAATTTAAATGGAGGGTGAACCATTCAACATAGAATGGAGCCCTGCCCAGGAGATTTGGAAGGAACGGCGTGGAGTGAAGAGATGAACATTTCAAGATTTACCCCTCCATCTGGGCCCCAAAAGGGGGCCCAACTGCTTGGAGTATCAGAAATTGGCCGAAGTTGGACTCCAAGTGCATCCAGTAGCGTCGCCTTGCCCGTCGTTTGCGGTGCAATGCGCAAAAATTGTTGGCCAGAGGAGTTGCTGTGGGGACTGGCGGTTGGGAGATGCTTTCGGCTTTTCGAACCGAAGAAATCAGAAATCCCCACATTCAAGACTCTATTCATCCAACCTGACAATTCATAATTCCAATTTCGGTTTTTGTTTAGTTCCCGGTCATGTTTAGTTCGCAATTTTGTGCAGATTTTAAATTTAACTTCGATAGTCTGTGTCTGTAATGCTTGATCTAGACTCATTGCCCGCAAAAAAACGGGCGCAATGATCATTTTGGCAGAAATCCTGCACGACTTATTACCACCAGTTCAGTAACGCAATCGTAGCCTCAGAAAGATAGAACAGTAATTCACCACTGTTCTAGTAATCTAGTAGGATTTTACTTTTCCAATCTTTTTGGGTTTGCTACAAAGCTTCACAATCTATAGAATTACCCTCCTGCAATCAAACACGGCAATGGAACATCCACATACACCCACTATTTATAGTTGATTTTCCCATAAACACTTCCATTTGTAGGGGGTCTTTCCAGCTAGCCACGTTTGAAAGTCCCCATTAACTTCCATGAACTTCCATTTTTTGTCCCATGAAATCCGGATTTGTTGATGGTGAAACCTCCATGTATACTCATTTACAGAGGATTCTCCCAGATTTTTCCTATGATTTTCCTATCCCTGGAAGTCACAGGGGCATTCCCACGGCTCCATGGAGCCCAAGGGGGGCTCCGATCTCCAAGGCTCTCGGACGGAGCGGTCAACGTCGGACTCCTCCGGCGGAAGAAATCTTTGCGCGTGGCGGTGCGAAGGGATGGGGGTCGATGGGCACAGTCCACTTCCACCAATGATATGTAAGTAATATATATATATATAATATTATATTATATTATATAATATTATGTATTTTTATTTATTTATTTATTTATATATATATATATATCTCTAGACTATTATAATGACTATAGATTTTTTGTTGAGATATAAATTCCGCAGATATAAAATTGTGGGTGAGTATACCCACCCTTAAGGAGAGAGAGACTATACACACACACAGATATGTAACTAACTAACTGAGATAAATAGATAAATAAATGAAAAAATAGATAAACAAATAAATAAATAGATACATAAATACATAAATACATAAATATGTATATGTATGTATTTAAAAAGTGGACATATACATGCACGTAGAGGGCATGCTGGAGAGGAGCGAAACAAGTGATGTTGTCATTGCATGATGTGCAGATTTGGCAACCAGAGGCTTCGGATCCAACTCGCCAACTCGAACGGAGGGGGTGAGATGGTGCCCTTGCAGCTGGCGTCACATCCTTCCAGCATTGTTACTAAATGATTTTAGTACTAATAATCCCAGACTTTGGGAAGGGAACATCTACATGAAACAATTTTGGGCGCAAAAAAAGTGTGAAACATAGATTTTCCATTTCCCGAAACCGGCTCTTGCTGGCAGGTTACCGGCGTTCCCATGGGTTTGTCCGAGGAACAGCAAACTCGCCTTGCGCGAGCGTTTGGAAACCCAGGAATCCTCTGTGTTTCTGAATCCATGGGGTACAGAGAGTATCCCCAGTTTTTCTATGGTCGATGTACTGGGGAAAGTCGTGCTGACCAAGCATCAAATTGGAGGGCAACCGATTTCAGACAAAACCATGTTGTTTTACGGGGAAGGGCACCTTTTTCTGGCCTACAGACTTGGTGAGTGACGCCAAGGCCTTTCCTGATCCCGTCCGCTGGCATGCTTGGGACTGGGTTATGATCCAATGAACAAAAAGGATCTTCGGGTAAACCTTGTGCCCGGCAAAATTCGTTTCTTTGACCACTGTCATGGAGGTCCTGTAGGGATTTGTGGGGTACTGTAGCTAAGGTTAGCCGGTTAGCCATGATATTCACCCTTGGGACTCTCTGTAGCTTTCAACAGGGATCTGCGCCCTTGTCATCTTTGTTTGCCAGGGGGTTATCTCATCCGGCACATCGTAGCTGCAGTCACTGCAGTTCGCGTAGGGAACGTTATATCACTCCGTTGTCCCTGAGAGTGCCTGCAGTATCTCAGTAATTTTGCACCCGTTTCGAAGTATCATGATTTGATCGATTTGGCACAACAAAATTACACCTATGATTGGCAAATCGAGCAGCATTATACTTGATGTGATATAACTCCATCTAATATATGGCTAGTAAATAACAATAAATAACCATCTATGGTTTAGTAACGTTTAGTACATTTGCTAACAATTCTTGATACTTATAGCCATAGTAACCATTGAGCCAGCAGTTCACCAGCCAGGTGGGAATTCTTGCCCTTCCACTCTGGGCGCTTGGTGGTCATCTGAGGTCGAACGACCGCCTTGGCGGCTGTTGGAAAAATCGGAGTTTGGAGCAGCCTCTGGGGCTTCCAACATGGTTGGAACGTACACTTTGATGATTTTTGTGTCTATACATAAATGAATATAAATACGAATATAAATATAAATATAAATAAATAAATACATAAATAAATAAATAAATGTATATATTAATATATCACAAATGATTTATATATTATTTTCATGTATTTTCATACTTTGATGATTTATACATATATACATGTACATATCATATTATATAATATACTATCAACATGACATAGAATAGAAATGAATAAAATATCACCATGTCCAGGCCATGCGGATGGGATATCATATGGGGCCAAATTCTGAGTGCCATTGTCCGCTTGAAATGTCGAAATTTGGGCGTTCCTGCTAGGCACTTTAAGGTTCCTACCAGTGAACTTGCTTTTTTATATTTTTTTAAGACCGAATTCCATGACAGAGAGATTTTTGACCATTCAGCTGGTAAACCTTCAGACCTTCAGCTTCAACCTGGCTGATTGTCAGGTTTTTCAGCCAGAAAACCCAATGTTTGAAATCAGATGCCGCTGAAATTCAGGGTTCCTGGTAGCTGCAGCCCTTTTCGGAGGGGAGCTGTGCCTCTGTGGTGGGCTTTGGCCAGGCTGGGTCCAAAATCTCAATGTGAAGATCTCCTGGAAAGTCATCTCAATATCAACCTAAACCCACCAAATCAAGATATAGATAACTGTGGTAAGGTCATGCGTAGATAGTCCATTCTCTTCCCATCTTGTGATCACCACATGAGTGTTTCCTAGAGGGATGGTCGACCCAGGCGCTGCAAGCATGGTGGAGTTTGAGTATGATATGACCAGATGGAAGGACAGCTTCGGAGAGATTTGTTCGACGGGTGCAGCCGTGAGACCTCAGGCAAAGCATTTTTACCACCCAAGCCACCGTGCATGTGTGTGGGGGTCATGTAATGTTATTTCATATAAATTCTGAAGGCATATCCAAGAACGTCAACAATTTTGGGATGGTTTATGTTTTTTTTTTTGTTAGAAAGCTCTGGTTATATTTTTGGCATATATATATAGAGTAATATAACATATATTCTTTAAATAATAACAATAATGATAATAAAACAAAAAAATAAATAGCAAAAAAATAAGAAGAACAACAATAATAATGATTGATAATAATAGTAATGATTATATATATATAGTTATTTAACAACTTGCATATACATTTGTAATAAGATACGACAGTTGTGTCTGTGAGGAGAATAGCCCAGCTATTTTTCTGGACGAAGAACCCGTCTCGTGATAACTGTAACTCACCATTGGGGTGATCCAGCAAGTATCATTCATTTTCTGAATGTGTTTATCATTGAGTTTAAGCCACATTCGAATGTTGTTTGATGTTTTTCCCATTGGACACCAAGTACTACCCTCTGGTAAACGTTTACATAGCGAACCGGAAAATCACCACGTTTAATGGGAAAATCCACTATAAATGGCCATTTTCAATAGCTATGTTAAATTACTTAGAGGGTATTCTCAATATTAATGTGGCAAAGCCATAAGGTAAACAATCTCCCAAATCACCATAAATGAGTGGTTTTTGAATCATCCATAGTCATGGTATAAACTTTATGGCATTGGCTTTCCCACAAAAAAATCCAATTATCCATTCGTCATCCATTATTGTTGGTTATAGCCTCATGAACCACTCATACCCAGTGTTGACCATTGTGAAGCATGGTTAAGGGTTCTTAAGGGTTGACATCTTCAAGCATCTTCCACCGCCGTTTTTCCATGGACACCAGAACGCGAAGATCTGGAGTGGTGGACCTGTCGAAGATTGGGAGGTCGGGTGATCTCTGAGACCTTCCAGCTACGTTAGAGTACCGGAGGGTAAGATCATAGGTTTCCTCAGGTGTCACCCTCTTGTAAACATACAGAAAGAATCCAAAAGATGTGGAGAACCCACCATGAATGTAGATCATTATCTGAACGGGAAAGCTCTGGTTTTCCATTGGGGCGTTTGCGCGGGTTAACTTCAACTTGAGCAAAATGATATAAAACCAGTGCCAGTAAAATCAACTTTCTCGGCAAGTTTTTTGTCCCAAACGATAGCTAAGGGTTTTTCTTTTAATATATATATATATAACTTGGTTGTGGTTGTTGGTTGTTGGTTGTTGGTTGTGGTTTGTGGTTTGTTTGTTTGGTTGGTTGATTGGTTGGTTGGTTGTTTGGTTGGTTGGTTGGTTGGTTTGGTTGGTTGGTTGGTTGTTTGGTTGGTTGGTTGGTTGTTTGGTTGGTTGGTTGGTTTGGTTGGGTTGGTTGTGGTTGTTGTTGTTGTTGGGTTTATGGCAGATGTAACATGACAGAACTACATCTGGGGGCCGGCAGGTGCTGCGTGCCGACGGGTCCAAGCCTGCAGTGAGCGTGCATCCACGCGCCTTGCCCGGCCTTATTGGTGGAACGGCAGGTGGTTGTCTTTTCGTGCAATAAATGGGTTTCTGACCACCAAGAAATGCAGAAACATTAGAAACTCTTGGAAAACATAGGAAACTATAGGGAGATCTTGGACGCTCAAATGGGGCTTAACCAACTCAAATCAGGAGTTACTGGTTTAAGAACAACTATGTCAACTACGGGTTCAAACATCCTGGTTGATTGCCGGTGGTATATCAATCGCATTCACCTTCCCTACCGGTCTGTTCCTCAGGGTCCCCACGGAAAGTTACGGTCGCTTCTTCCGAGGTGACATGATGGACTACCATGGCTTGAGGCTCGGCAAGTCTAACCCTTTGAAGTTGGAGAGTTTCTGTTTGACCCATCTTGATCCATCATTTCAGCATTTCCCATAAACGTCATCCCCTTGTTATCCTTGTTCATTTCTGATTTGACGGCTAGGATTCACGGATTGAAACAACAACGTTAGCTGCTTCCCCTTCTGAACCAGTCCCTGTGTCCTCCCTTCTGTGTAATCATGGGTCATCCGCTGGGGATTGCCCGAATCGATCGCCAGTAGCATGTGGCCACGCGAGCTCTATTCTCGGGCCGTGTGCGTGGGGGAGGAGCAGGTCACAGAGGTGATCAAGTTGCAGGAGTGGGGCTGGTCCGGGGGCCTTGAATGGGTTAGGACTGCTAGTGACACGCCCTTGACCCTTCATGTGAGATATGGCTATGGATCAATACCTATTAATTAATACCATTTTTAGGGGGATGAACATCCATTTACCAGCTATTTTGATGTTCACCAGGGGTACAAGGTTTTGACACACTGCCATATATACACACAATCACACACACATATACATATACATATACATATGCATATGCATATGCATATACATATACATATCTTATATACATATACATACACACACACACATACATCGTATAAATATTCCCTTGGAACACTGATGCTTCTTAGTCGGCAAAGTTACAGAAAAAATGCACCACCAGTTGGGATGCATGGAGATACTAGGCCATAATATGACCCAAATGTGGGCAAATATGCCAGCATCACTCGCCACTTCTGAGACTAGGAGGAGCTGAAGTTCCACTTCTACTACACCGGGTGCCGGGGGGCTGTGATGAGAATGGAGCAAACAACATCAAACAACTCTCAAGCTGAGAGTTTATCAGATTATCAGAGTTTGGGCATCTCCAATTTATCTTGCTGATTGTGGGTGGGAAAAGGATAGATTATTTCTAGTTGCCATCAAAACCATGGAGATAACACTTACCCTGGATGAGAACTGGAACCAAGGACGGAAAGCGACAAATGGGTATGGCTCCAAAAAAGAGGCTAGCAATGGACATGCAAAAGGTATGGGACATTTTTATTTGCATTAAACGTTCCACTTTAAATGGAGGTTTCCTGAAATAGGGGTACCCTCAAATCATCCATTTTAATGGTATTTTCCATTATAAACCATCCATTTGGGGGTACCCCCATTTATGGAAACCTTCAAATTGATCTAGAATCTATACCCAAAGCATCGACCTCTGCGCAGGTTGGACCCCAGGGACGGCACTGAGGACCCAAAGGAATACATGTGTCCTGCAGCCAAGTCATAGACGGGGTTGAAGGTGTTGGGGAATTATCACCTGGAGTTGAAATGAGAAGAGGTGTCGAGTTGTAGGGGGACACAGTTGTCATTTGACATCCATTATACATCCATTTAGATCATTTAGCAGGGTGTTGGGAGCAACCCTCAAGTATGGGATCTACTTCTACTGGGAATAGTTGTCATGTGTTTCGGCCAAAAAAAAGTACCAAACAAACACACAATCCACATCAATCCACAATGAAGATTCTGACAAAATCAATTTTGGAGAAATTGAACGTTCCAACGCATTGCCGGCATAGGAATTGCCGGCGGAACCTCGGTTCGATTTGGGTGATTTGTGATTGGATCAATCTTTCGCCATGTTTTTGTGCGGAGATACGATGAACACAAAAAAGATCAAACATTCCACGGGGGACTGGGGACGTTTTCCACCGAAAAGAGCCTGCTTTGATATCGCCGAGGTCTGGTGGTTTACAGCAAGGCCAATTGGAAGGACATTCAACGAGGCCAGTGCGTGCGATTTGTGGAGGAAGATGAGGGGTCCTGTTCGATGGATCTGGGTGTTCCTGGTTCAGCAATCCTTGAAAGGGAAAGTCAACCCCTGAAAAAAAAACACCGTGAGTAAGCTCCAAGAAAACATCTTGAGGATTGGCTGGATGATTGGATTCCACACCTGTTGGCTGGTAACTGGTACTTGAGTCCTCTTGAGAATGTACACAAATACAATCAGGCAGACAATAATACTGGTTGGTGGTTTCAAACATGTTTTATTTTCCATCATATATGGGATAATCCTTCCCAACTGACTAATATTTTTCAAGATTGTTAAAACCACCAACCAGAATAAATAGAGTGTAGATTTTTCCAAAAATGCCCCCCCCCCTTCCATCTCCACACTTGGCCCTGAGAAATTGTGATCATAGCTGCATGTTGCCGGTGTCACGTGGACAGGTTTAGCACAGCTGGGTCTGGAACTGGATGCAGAAGAAGCCGTGGACAAGGAGGGGCTAAGCCTGCTCAGCGGCGGCTGGCTTTTGATCCCAGTTGTGATTCTTGGTTAATAACACCATCTACCCTCTGGTAATTTAACGTAGCTATTGAAAATGGCAATAGAAATAGTGAGTTTTCCCATTAAAAATGGTGATTTTCCATTGCTATGTTAGTTCACCAGAGGGTATATAAGTACAATAAATCCTATCTTCACATAGACCCCAGTAAAAAAATAGTTAAGCTAGTTATAAACCAACTTTGATTCTATAGAGGGATCAACGATTTTTCCGTAGCCAGTGCTGAAAAGGTTGGGTAGGACCGCAGCCAATAGTGAAGACTTGCCAGCCGAAAATGGGGTGGTATGTGGTAATCAGATGTAGTAATGATTTTATGAGATCAAAAGATGAGCATCAGAATGTGCGCACATGCACACATTTGATGGTCTCGATTCTCGATGGTCCTTGCCAACCTTAAACTTGGCAGATGAAGATTGGAACATCCCTGCTCTGCAAAGCTTTCACATCCTGGTGCAGCCTTGCTGCTTCAAGGGGCTGATGCGGCTATCATACGACCCACGCTTGTTGGTTGGATGACGTCTCCATTTTTGGAGATTTTGCCTCTTGTCAGTCATTGATGTAAGTTTGGTGAACATGCTCCGTTGACTATCCTATCAGTTGTCGGTTAAATGATTATCTACGTATGTATATCTATATATACATGCGTAGTCATGCACAGACAGATATATATATATATCTGTTTGTGTGTGTGTGCGTGTTTTCGATTTTTTGGGGGCGTTTTACAATATAGACATAGGCTGAAGTCGTAGCCAGCGATTCTGTAGCAACGCTTGTCTCGTTCGCTGATCTCCCTGCAGGACACTGAGGATCTGGCGATTCAGATGATGCTTCGGGCCTCTGACGTGGGGACGCACGGAGGAAACAGCAGGTGAAGGGCCAGAAAAAACCCAATGTTTAAACGAAGAGGGTGGGGGAAACACGGTGAACTTTTACATGTTGGAGATGTTGGGGAGATTTGAAACATCAATCAGGTTTTCAATAGTGGATGTTTTTTAATGGTGGAAATTTGGCCCCAGGATGTGCATTCTCCACCCTTTTTCCGCTCCAAAAACGGGAAACGATCGCATCGAAGGCGTGGATCACCTACTGCGATCCTTGGATGAAGCGCGAGTTCGCCGACGACGCCGGCCTCTTGCAGCCGGGGAAGGTCTATCGCGCCTCGGCCATGGGGGTTTTCGGCAGAAAGAATCGATGAACAAAATACCCTCTGGTAATTTAACATAGCCATGGAAAATGGCCCATTTAATTATAGAGGTTTACCTATTAAAAATTGTGATTTTCCATGGCTATGTTAAATAACCAGATGGTACATATGGTAAAATGATGTAAAATGCTATGAAACTAGGAAGGAATTAATTGGAAGCATTTGTTCCTCAGTCGCTTACTGGCGGAGATACGCATCATCGAATCACATGGGATTCAAGTTCCAAATGAGTTTGGGCAGTTTGGGCAATATGGAACGGCACATAATACCCTCTGGTTATTTGACATAGCCATGGTATAGATGGCCCATTTATAGATGGTTTACCTATTAAAAATGGGTGGATTTTCCATGGCTATGTGAAATAACCAGAGGGTACATTCCTGAAAAACATCGGTTTGATGGTCTATTTTTGCGCGGATTCCCCACATCGGTTGTGAAGAAACCTGGTGGGTTCCGGAGTAATATGGATAATCGTGAGAATTCATGACACGGGTCCTGGTGTGGTTCGAATATGTTCGAATGCTTAGATTCTTAGATCTATCCAAGGGTTTTGGTCATGTTACAACAAGTTGGGTAATTATAGATCTATAACATCTATAATACATCTATAACTATAAGTCTAAAAACCCCCTTTTAAGAAGGGGGGTTCCAATTTGACTTCATGGGAAGCGAACTTCCTTGCACAAGGTGCTGCAGGTTTACACATCCCTTTCCTGACCTTGCAAAGTCAAGACCAAAGCTTTACCCCGATGCCCTGGATTTGCTGGAAATCTACGACCTGGGGAATCTAAAGGGACAGCGGTACGATAGCGCTATATTTTTTGAGGTTCCTGAAGCAAGTCCAAGACCAGGCTTGAAACATACCTAACTTTGAGGGACGATGCTGGTGTCTGACGAGAGCATAAGGAAGTCAGCCCTTATTTCGCCGTAGCTTATGTGTATATGCTGCATATATAATCATATATATATAGTTTGCATACCATCCTTATAATGCTTATATAATGGGTATATAAGGAAAAACCTGAAGGGTCCCCACTGAAAGGGGTACACCCAATTCGTTCTTGAAATATATGTGTATGTTAATTGTCTATACTATACTATGCTTCATATGTTTTTTTTGACGTGTTTTGCATTTCCTGCCGATAAAAAAATGACAATTCACCACTTGGGATTGTGACAGAAGGGTTCACAGAAGAGAGACACTTAGCCAAAAAGACCTGGCCCTTTGGCCACCCAGGATTGAATCAGGATGGGCTACAGGAGAAGTTAGGTCTTTGATGTCGAAGGCAGGAGCCGAAGGGGCCAGCGCCAAACTTCAAACTTTCAGAGGTTGTCCACTGTTTTTCTGTTTTTTTTGTTGTTGTGGTGGCTTTTGAAATGTACACACACACATATATATAATATAGAGAGATACATATACACGCTGACAGTATATAATATGGATTTTCCCCACCCATACGCACAGTTCCGATTCGTTTGAAGACGCCAAGCACTTTGATTTGGCAGTGATTCGCCCAGTTGGGATGAAGAAAATCGACCCAGGATGAATCAAACGCTGTACCAGACTTGGGGCGTACCATTTACCCTCTGGTGAACTAACATAGCTATGGAAAATCACCATTTTCAATGGGAAAATCCACTATAAATGGCCATGTTCAATAGTTATGTTAGTTTACCAGAGGGTACAGAGGGAAATGGATCTATTTTGGGAACCCTCCATTTTTTTAAAGAATACACTGCGGCTTTCTTCATCGATGACCAGGTCAGTGCGGGCCGAAACCTGGTCGCCGCGAGTGCGGCTGCGTGCCGTGCGAAAAATGACTGGAGGATTTTTGTTTCAGAGATTTTTTATGTGGTGAAGAACCATAGTTGCCATAGTAATTAATGATAATTAATGGGGATAATATGGTTATAATATGGTGATATTATAACATATTATCCCAAAGTTGCTGTTGTAATATGTTATAATCCATGTAGATGGGATAAGCACGGATCAAGCCGCGAAGAAAGGGGACTTACGATCACCAGGGGGTGTAATTGGATGTAATTGGCTCTTAGGATAATCTCCTGATAATCCCATTCCCCTAATGTTCAACACCTCCATTCTTGGTCCCAAAGATGTAGAAATTTCCTATCAAACCATGCTTTCTGGGGAGTGTCACCCATCTTTAGGGGATGGGATTAGGCAACATTCCCATAGAAACGATGTATTGGATTCTGTGGGTCTGAAGAGCTGGTACCCATTATGGGGTGCCCAACATTGGTAATACAACCAGGCGCATTTCCCATGCCACACGTGGCAACAGGTTGGAAGATCATCAGCAAAAATGAGGGATGTTTGTCAAAACAATGAAAAACCACCATCCTGAATTTTTCCCAGGCATTGTTTTTCAGGCATTCCCAGGCTGTTTTTATCAGGATGGAGAATGGGTGGAACTCCAATCACTCTGCCTGGGCCTGGGCTATCCTGGGATGATCGGGTGGATCTGCAGCTGCTTTAGCAAGCCAAGCGCGTCTCGCTGAACGTCCATGGCAACTTGGTGGCAGAGGGAAGTATGTGTGTTCAAAATGCATGGGATCATATAGGTAACACTTATGTGTGATTACACATATATAGTGATTTTTCATTAAATAAATAAATAAATACATAAATAAATATATATATATATATACACATACATACGTACCTACACATATATCTACACATATATATGGAGCACAGGTCAGATTTTAATCCCAGCCGCTCTCCCTATATTTCCCCCCAACCGCCAGTGCCATTTGGCTCGAAGACCAACCTTCGAATGCCGCGGCTCCTTGGGTGGTCCGTGCTTGCGCCCACGGCGGTGTCGGCATCCCTGGCAGTGTTCGGGCACAAGGCGGCCTGGGATATGGAACATCTATGGAATCTATGGTTCCGAAACGATCAAAACATGATGGACTTCCCAAGAGGTTCATTTTGTCAGAGGGTAATATGAAGCTATTTGGTCCCAAAAAGATATATGATATATACATAGACGACCTCCCTGCCATTGAGTTCCACCGCACCTTGGAAGGTTCCAGACACTGACACGGTGACTGCTGCCATTGCTACTGGGACTCTTGGGACGATTTTGGGGTCAGCACCACTGGCACCATCTGGGGATGAACGGCCTGAACGGCGCCTGTTTTGCCCCCAAGACATAGGGTAGTCACGGGTCGGGGATTGCCAGTATCCACACGTCTCATGACCTTCTAATGTGCATATTTTGCGTGTGCTTGGGCTGTGGGGTTTCCGTCTTGCAATTCTGTGGAGGTGGCATTTCTATTCATTATTGTTTTTGTATCATTTTAAAGCAGGATGACCAAACGTATTGACAATTTCGCCGGCAGGACGTCCTGCACTTTGTAACTTGCACTTTGTGGCTCTATACCTGCAGAATTTCCATATGTAAATGGAATTCATCAATATTCATCCCATTTAGAACTGGGTGAAAGTCATCAAACCCTGATGAAATTGGTTGGTGGTTCATTCATAAGCCCTAATCATGGGTTGCTCAGCATCCATGGCAATGGAAAATCCACCACTTAGTTCGATGCTTTTAGCTCTCAACTTCCATTTTCGTGGCGGGGGAGGGGAGCATCGGGAGCCCTCACCAGCAGTCTCCCAACTTGGATGTGCATCCCACGATCCTTGGTTTAGACAATGCCTATTTCATCCCATCTAATCCAGTGATATTCCATGAATCCAGATCTGGGGGTACAACTTCACCGGTTTTTCAACCCATTTCCGTTTTGGGACTTCCCTTAAGGTCTATGCCTGGGAGCTGAATGCCCGCAACATCTCGGCCAGCGCGTACCGCCTGGGTGAGCTGAACCCGGAGACCAGCTACGTCCTGCAGGCGCTGAAGGTCCCGGTGCCGCCGCTGCTGGAGCAGCTGGTACCGGAGGTGGCGGTGGTGGATACCAACAACCCGGAGGAGCTGCCAGAGGTGTGGAAAAGTGGGGAGTTGCTGTGGATAATGTCATCATGTCATGGAGTTTTTATGGGATATGTTGGATTGTTGGCCAGGTGACGAATGCCACTATTTTTCTGCTAGGGATCATAGATCAGAGACTTAATGCTGGTCATCCAACTTCTCATCCTTCCGGAGACTGGTGTTTCCTGGGATAATTTTGATCACAGAATATCACAGCGTCATCTTTGAAGATCTTTTTCCACGACATACTTTGAGAAGAGTCAGGATCTGTCCGGATCATATTCCATGCCCCAAGATTCGCAAAGCCCCAGCAACCCACAGATGGGGTCCCAGTGATGACCTTCACCACGATGCGCAGTGCCAGGGCATCTCCAAGGTGCGCCTGCATTCCATCGTGGATCATCACAAGCTTAGCGGCCTGGCCAATGCCGAGCCTTTGGAGGTGGACATGCGGCCCCTCTGTGGCGCGGCGGATCGACATGGATCGACCCCCGAACTCCTGGATCTCCTGGGGTCGGAAGTCCTGGGATCGGAACGGCGATATCCGATCTCCCAAATGGCGAAAAAACTCAGCAAGTAGAGTTCAATCCATGAAAAGATGGAATGTTTACCCCGGGTTACAGTCCACCAAGTGAGGCGTGTATCAAAAGTATGCAGCCAAAAAGGAGGCACTGTATCTCTATTTCTATGCGGCCCCATTCTTCACCAACGGACCACTTTTGTCCCAAAACAGACTCCCGCAAAAACACACTGCATTTCTTGGAAGAAGAAGACAGGGACAGTTTCAACGATTTCTATGTTTTCCATCTCTCTCTCTCTCTCTCTGTATATTCCATCTATATATTAATAGTCATATTATTTAAGTAATGATACTAATGCCAATATAATATATCTATCTTATCTTATCTTATCTGATCTTATCTGATCCTGATCCTATCCTATCTATTTCCCCATCATCTTGCTGCCAAGGCTCGGCCACCAGCATCCTCTATTCGCGCTCGAAGCTCTACGGCTTGACGCCGAGCAAGGAGATCGCGGGGTTGATGCTTTCCGGTGCCGATGGGGGATGGGCTGGATGGGCTGGATGGGCTGGATGGGGTGGATGGGAGCTTGGATCTCTTCAGTGATTTGTCAAAGTGTAAGTGGTTGCTGTCGGAATTCATTGCTCTGGCCACATGTAGTCAATGTAGTCCAGTCACGAGGCATCATCCTGCAAAGGGTGGGTCGTTTGGAACCGAATCAGAAGCACCACACACTCCAAAATCATGAGGGGCCAAAACTTTCATCTGGAAGTCCCGCCTATATCCACCTATATCCACCTATATATATCCTCCAAAATGGTCATGAATCCATCATTTCTGAAACCTAGAAACCTATGGCCCCATGGCTGAATTCCAAGTCCCAAAGATCTTCCCCGGGCGAGGCATCTTGTCGGATTCGCTGGAGTTTCGTTCGCCCACCACCACGGAGACGGACAAGACCCATGCAGCGGAGCTGGGGAAATTGGCAGGCCGAACCACGGATGACCTGGTGGAACCCCTCTGGTAATCAGCTGGCCGATCCCAGGCCATTTGTCCGTCCAGCGCCAGGTCTGGATGTGCACGACTTCGCGGAACAGATGTTGGACGCCAAGGCGAAGGTCGCCGAATTTGGGGCCCGAAGTGTTGTGATTTCAGGGGCAGAATTTGGAAAAAAATGGGGGGTCTGGGTGGGTGTAAAAATTGAGAAACAACATGAAAAAACCGATGATGCAGGAATATGATGATCAACCATTGGATGTTGGGGTATACCCTCTGGTAATTTAACATAGCTATTGAACATGGCTATTTATAGTGGATTTTCCCATTAAGAACGGTGATTTTCCATAGCTATGTTAGTTTACCAGAGGGTATTTTCAAACAAAACCATATTGTTCTGGATGAAGACGGACTTCACAGGCGAATGTCACTGTAAATCATGGTTAGGGAGGCAGGCATCTCTTAGGTGCATGGTTATCATGCAGCCAGATTCTTGTATACGGGATCAAACCCATAGTCCAAGCACCACGTCCAACTTTACCCTGCTGGTGGGATTTGGTAAAACTTGAGCGTTTTTTTTGGGGGGATGGAGGTGGCCGTTTTCTTTTCTCGACTTGACCGCTGAAGTCATAGGGCCTACCTGGTTGAAAAACGAGCACAAGATACGCATGACCACAGCCAGGGCCAGATTCGGTTAGTCCAAAGGTTCAAAATTTGCTTGGTGAAAGAATGAGCCACGCTCCATGAAAATGGTTCCTAGGACGTTTTAAGACACGTGGGTGATACGTGTTTCCACACCAAGACAGTCCCAGTATAAGACTTCATGAAGGTCCTCGACTTGCTTTAAGGGAAGCTCCACGGGGAGAAGAAACATTTTTTTGTTTTGTCTGAAAACTGGCCCTGAGTCCAGTAGTTCATCATCATTTTCACATATTTTAACCCAGACAGACCAGGTGGATCACTTGAGTTCTTCGGAGCTGATCATGATGGATACGACGCATGGTCGGACTGGGGGTTTACCATGGTTTACCCGTGGTTTCGCGCATGATTTTGTTTTGCACTTTTCATGGGAAAATAGACTATATAAACATGACTAAACAGCTCAAGCTTGACGACTTTTTGGGTGCAAGATATCGAACATGAGCCGTGAATTCAAGACTTCCTTGAAGCAAAACAAAGAGTACCACCCGAATTCGCCTAGAAACAAGAACGTAATAATCACATATATAACTCATATATACACATATAATCACATATATACAATATTATACAATCATGTCCTTCCAAGTTTCTTCCGTTCTGAGCTCCACAAAATCACCTTTCAACCCTGTTGCGGTCGAGGAAGATCTTCAACATCGGTGGTAGGAAGTTGCGTGTCTCGGTGCTGGAGACCACCAAAGCTGCCGGGCCCTTGGCACAACAGGCCCAGCTGGTGACGGCCATGCAGAAGCTGAAAGAGAAGGAGATCGGATGCCGATGGGATGCCGATTTTGGCCGGGTTGGGGCGATCTGGTGGGTTTTGGTGGATGTCATGTTGTCGTAAATGGAAAAGCCAGTACAAAAGCCGTCCAAACATGTGGGAAATGGGGATTTGGATGGATTTGGAGGATCATCCGAAGGTTGACCAGTGGGTGTCATAACTGATATATTTCACACAGCAAACAGAATTGTAAAGCACATTGATAAACAGCTGAGCCAATCATGTCTGAAAAAAACATATACCAAGTAGGTTGTGGATGCACATTTCTTAGGGCGTGTTTGGCTGATGTTTGGGTGGAAGTTTGCGGCCCAGTTCTCAGCGTTCTCTGAATACAAGATCTTGAAGGAGAAACAGGGAAGAACAGAATAACAATTTGGAACACTCTAAGGATACTCCTTAGATCTTCTTAGAATGCGGGGTTATCATACATATAGACTTACATTGACCCGCAGCAGATCTTGACATATATCAAGAGTGGCCGCAAGCGGCAGGTGAGCATTTTGGGTAAATCTCGCCAGGCATTATTGTTCAACGATCTGTATTGCATACGAAGTTGGATTATGTTGAATTTCGTTGGCAAATAGGAGAACACTCCTGGTACAAGAGTGGACATCTAGTACAGCCTGCATACTGTATACGCATATATGTGGTGGATATAACAGCCAACACTAATGGCGAGAATGATAGCAGTAATATATAACAATTGCATTAACAATGATAGCAATGACAATACTAAATGAATGTATACATGCACATCGATATGTTTCCACCTATGGAGAACGACAATTCCATATGACAAGACAGCCGTACCAAATCGCAGGAGAAGTTGGATGATGTGCTCTTCTTTGTGGTAGACATCCTCAAGGCACCAGTTGGACTGGCAATTACCAGAGATCATGGGGAAAAGAGGTTCCCAATCAGGATTGCCTGTGAATGTACCAGGTAAATGAGATGAACGATCCAATGAGAACTCGTAGGAGCACCCATCATTGCATGAAATTAAAATAAGACGCCTTGCGAACATGTTTAGAACTTTAGAAGGTGACTTTTTCTATTGGATTCCTGACCCTTTTTTGAGTTTCACTAGGTTGTTGAGAGTGTAGGACCTGGTCCAAGACGCCACTGCTAATGATTGTTGCTACAGTTTCAGAGCCACCAACGCTAATATATCTAATATCGTGTTCCCGTCCCTCCCCTCTTCGTAGCCATGGTTGTTGTGGGTCGACTCCAAAGTTTCTTGCTTCTAAACTCCAAGCTCCAACGTTGAACGTCACATCCTCAAAGCATGTGAAAAAAAACTAATTAACCTCCCTATTTCTATGATTTCCAATTGTTTTTGGATGTGTTTGGGCTGCTGAATTTGCTAATCCCCATTTGCCAATTCTGTTTTTCCATAAACCTCCCAGCTGGAGATCATTGTCCCCACTCTTCACCACCCTTAAAATGTCAAGTTTTTTACAAAAAATCATAGATTTTTGGAGCTAAACACACACACACAGATATATATATATATATATGCATATATACATATCCAAAACATAATTAATCCTCCCCATTTATTTATCTATTTATTTATTTATTTATTTATTTATTTATCATCATCATCATCACCATCAATCATCATCATCAATAATCATCATCAATCACCAATCATCATCATCATCATCATCATCATCGTCATCACCATCATCATCATCATCATCACCATCATCATCATCATCACCATCATCATCATCATCATCATCACCATCAATCATTATCAATCATCATCATCAATCACCAATCATCATCATCATCATCATCATCATCACCATCATCATCATCATCATCATCATCATCAATCACCATCACCATCACCATCATCATCACCATCACCATCACCATCACCATCATCATCATCATCATCATCCATCACCATCACCATCACCATCACCATCATCATCATCATCATCAACATCATCATCAATCATTGATTGAAACCTTCCAGGCATATTGAACATATTGAGTGGTTTATCATATCTTCATGGCTGGAAAGTCCATCCCACCCTTCAGCCAGGAAGCCGCCACCTTCATCTCCTCCTCACCCAGCGCGTCCAAGCTAGTGGAGACCCTTGAGCTACGAAAAAATTGGGGGACTGAACTAGGAAAGATATGGAAAGATATGGAAAGATATGAAAAACATGGGAATTGAAGATGGAGTTAAGAAGAGTAGACATGGATATCATGGATTTATTCAATGTGAGCATGTGATATATATGAATTATATATATATATGGTAGTTGTCCCCTAAAACTCAAACCAACACATGGAACATGGGTATTGACGCATCACAAATAGGACGCTGACCAAGGAAAAAGATCAAGCATCAAAACCAGATAAAACCAGGCATCAAACATCAAACATAGAATTTCATGAGGCGCATCACACATTTCAGGCGTTTTAAACTGCCACAAAAAAACCCACACCACACCGTCCCAAGGAAGGCCTGGAGTGTCAAGGTGGACAGCGAGGGCTTGGTGGTTTTGCCCAAGGCTGGCAGGGGCCGCAGGGGCGAGCCACCGCACCACTCGTCGTTTCCCTTCTTTCCGCAGGTCCTGTCGCGGAAGAAGCAGATCATTCCCAAACTCGAAGCCGCCGCCAAGGAGGAACTGTGAAGCGGGAGAACATAGGATGGGTGCGCAGCCCAAATGGAGGAGGAGAGAGCCGTTTAGCCATCTAAAATGTGGAACCAATGATGAGCTGCTTGGTGGTTTCACATTTTTGTCTGTTCAACCATAGATATCGGATGATGACCCCCAATGACGAGCATAGTTTTCGCTTGAAACCACCAACCAGTAACAGTTGAAGTAGAATGGAGACCCTCAGTTGGGACACACGAGTACAGTATATGCCTTTCAATTGCACAAGGGGGTTTGGGCAAAGCAGTCAAAGACCGAGAATGATTGGAACAATTTTTTTTCGTTCTGTGCGTATGATCCAAAGAACCGTGAGTTGGTGTGTGATGCTTTTCGCAGGATCATGGGGGTCACATAAATGGGCAAGCGACATGACAATAGCTAGACCCGGCAGCGCGCCGCGTTGTTTCGGGACCCTTCGGGCCCGTTTCGGCCCGCCAGACCAGAGCCTGGCCGCGTCCAAAAAATGCGGCTTGCATTGAGTCAAGAGGACTCACAAAATCAAATTCGCCCCCGAAACATCCTAAAACTACTTTCCTCCTACATTGTTGAAGGATCATCCAGAGTCACAACTTGTTATGTAATGTTCTACGTGAACGCTTTTATCCTGGGAATCCTTTTTGTATCTTTTTGTATCTCTTTGTGGTTGTCAGCAAGTCCCCATACCCGGAGTTGCCAGCATGATCAAAGCATCCGTCTGAGGCGGCGCGCGCCATGGCGGGTTGGATGGAAAGGCGGGGTCCCACGGCGGACTTTCGCTGGCCCGGGGTCCCGTTGCGGTGACCGTGGCGGGTTTGAAAACCGATGGCCGGAGGTTGGTGAGCTACAAATGTGAGATATCATTGATAGTTAGGATAAGCTCAGGAATTGAGGACTTCGTTACGGTGACCAGTTACTGCACTGAATCCTTCAGGCAGATGGATTTCAATCCTTTCGTGATTTTTGCTGCCATGTTCTTTTTTTTCAACAAGACTGATTTCGTCAAATTAGACAGGATACTATTTGGGATGGATTGTGCTGTTTCGCTTCCAAGAAGTTCGCCAAAAGTAAAAAACATAGCATTTTCAGGGCACTTATGGGACACGCCCTCTAGTCACTAGTCCAAGCTGGCGAAGTGCTCGACCTAAGGCAGAGGCGTTGGGTGGTGCTCCAAGATGGCAAACTGGAAACCTTCTTGGACCAGGACAGGTGGCCAGTGGGCAGCTGTTGGAGCTGGGAAAGGAGTGTCATATTCAGTCAGCCGTTACAGAAAGGGACCTGCCTGTTACAATTTGGTTTATAACCCCATAATCACACGCACAAGTATTATACTATAGTGACTATATATATAATTATATATAAATAAATATGAATATAAATATAAATATAAATAAATACATAAATAAATATATATATATATATATGCATGCATGCTGATGTAACGCCCTAAAACAAATCATATTATGGCATTCTTTACTGTAATATTCTTTTACGATATATTTGATCTGAATATATCCATTATATGGAATCCGAATGTGAACATAACTATACCCACAGACGCCGTGTTGCCCAGACATTAACATTGAGAATGTCGTGCTGTCGAATATATGATAGAAGAGATTGCAGAAAATACTGCGTATACGCAGTGTTTTCCAGTTTAGGATTCAAAGTTTTCAGAGCCTAGGTTTTAGGGTTTTGGGTTTTAGGCTTTGGGGTTTTAGGGTTTAGGATGGTTTAGGGTTTTAGGGTTTAGGGTTCGTCGTCTGGGAAATCTCAAAACACTGGCCCTGCGCAGGTGTTTGAGCATGTTGAAGGATCCTGTTTGAACATGTTCGCCCCAACCCGGACGTTGCTCCACACTTACAATCGTCATGATCATGATCATTATCATGATGATGATGATCATCATCATCATCACCACCGTCATCATCATTATCATTATCACCATCACCATCATCATAATCATCATCTTTATCTTCATGAGGGATCAAAATTTGCCACCCCCTATGAGCAATATGTTGATTGGGGGAATAGCATCAACTACATCTCCATGAGGGATCCAAATTTGCCAACCCCCATGAGCTATATGTTGGTTGGGGTAATAACATCAACTTTATCTTCATGAGGGATCAAAATTCGCCACCCCCTATGAACATCTATGAACAATATGTTGGTTGGCGTAATAACATCAACTTTATCTTTATGAGGGATCAAAATTTGCCACCCCCTATGAACAATATGTTGACTGGGGTAATAGCACCAACTTTATCTTCATAGGGGATCAAAATTCGCCACCCCCTATGAACAATATTTTGACTGGGGTAAAAACATCAACTTTATCTTCATAAGGGATCAAAAGGATCAAAATTCGCCACCCCCTATGAGCAATATGTTGATTGGGGTAATAACATCAACTCTATCTTCATAAGGGATCAAAATTCGCTACCCCTTATGAACAATATGTTGATTGGGCTAATAATAATAACATCAACTTTATCTTCATAGCCACCTGAAGTCAGACGCGGAGCAACGTCAGGGTTGCAGCGAACATGTTTAAACGCCATTTGAACCTTCCGGGCAACACACAGCGCCTGGCCGTAACTATATAATGCTATTAAAACAATAATAAACGACCCCATTTTTGATGGTTTATCAAAGGAAGTTTAGGGGGAGAAACTTCCGTGTTACGGACTTTTAGAATGTCAGGGAAAGAGTTAGTCAAAGAAACAGTTAGTCAAAGAAACAGTTAGTCAAAGAAAGAGTTAGTCAAAGAAACAGTTAGTCAAAAAAACAGTTAGTCAAAGAAAGAGTTAGTCAAAGAAACAGTTAGTCAAAGAAAAGTTAGTCAAGTCAGAAAGGGTTAGAAAGAAACAGTTAGTCAAAGAAAGAGTTAGTCAAAGAAAGAGTTAGTCAAAGAAACAGTTAGTCAGGGAAAGAGTTGGTCAAAGAAACAGTTAGTCAAAGAAACAGTTAGTCAAAGAAAGAGTTAGTCAAAGAAAGAGTTAGTCAAAGAAAGAGTTAGTCAAAGAAAGAGTTAGTCAAAGAAAGAGTTAGTCAAAGAAACAGTTAGTCAAAGAAACAGTTAGTCAGGGAAAGGGTTAGTCAAAGAAACAGTTAGTCAAAGAAACAGTTAGTCAAAGAAAGAGTTAGTCAAAGAAAGAGTTAGTCAAAGAAACGGTTAGTCAAAGAAACAGTTAGTCAAAGAAAGAGTTAGTAAAAGAAAGAGTCAGTCAAAGCAACAGTTAGTCAAAGAAACAGTTAGTTAAAGAAAGAGTTAGTCAAAGAAAGAGTTAGTCAAAGAAACAGTTAGTCAAAGAAAG